TTTGGCCTCAGCAATAATGAAGCGATCGACAACTTCCTCAACAGATGCAATTAGCTGTATTAATACCTCAAACGATGACACCTATAAGCCGCAGAAGTTCTTCAAAAAGGCACGACTTCACTTGGCATGGGAACCGCCACCTGAGCAAAAGACCAAGGTGATGGTGGCATACTCGGTTTATCTGGATGTCACATTCTCTGGGCCCTGCAGAATGTTCAAGTACGAACATGAGACCTCAAGGATTGCAAGCATGGACATTTCGTCAAGATTATCAATAATTATCATATCTCTATTTCTCGTGTACACAAGTAAGAGAAGAAACCAGGGACAGGAATTGTCAGCTATTACTTTCTCTGGCCCCCCGCAGAATGTTCATGCACATGCATGAACATAGAAATATGATAAGAATGGGAACATATGAATATACGAAGATCGTATACATGCCTCCGACGCACTCAACGACTAGCAGATAGTGCGCTGGGAAAAGATAAGGGTCACATGTACGGACTGTATAAATAGACAAATGGACACCAACCCTTGCAACCCCAGAGTCAGATATGTAAGAGACGAACGCTGAGCCTTACAACCTCAGCGATAGGATAAGAATAGATAATAGAACCACGCGGAGCCTTACAAACTCTGCGATAAGATAAGAACATGCAATAGACCAATGCTGAGCCTTACACACTCAGCAATAGACGCACTAGATTTAAGGGTTGAAATTATGCATGAGTCTGGGTATATAAACCCAGGCTCAGAAGAATAAAGACCAATACGAAACTAAACACCAAAGTAAAGTGTATTCGTTCACATTCTGTTTCTTTAAGTAATTAACTTTCTTAATTGCTCTTTAGACCGTTGATAAGCTCGTCCTAACACTGATTTTAACCCTAATCTTGGTGGTCGATTCGTGGGAATTCGAAGCTTCTCGAACTAATGCTCTTCTATTTCCTTCTGAAATCACTTGATTATTGCCGCTTATATAGTTTTTTCCATAGTTTTCCCTATTTGTAAGAAAATTGCCACTTAGTTTTCTGTTTTTTCCTGATTTTTCAGCAATTTTATGGTTGCATAGTCTAGATTCAAAGTATGCCTCAATCTTTGATTTTCAACCAAAGATAAAACTGTTTCTTTACCCATACTATAAATATATTGAATACTTTGAGCTTCACAAAAAATTTGGTGAGTGTAATTGCCAAAATAAGCAAGATAATTACAATTGCATTTGGGGGCGCTAATCTGATGACGCAAAATAAGTGCACACATTTTTTGCGAAAATAGAGAAGGATAGAAAATAAAACATAACGGGTTTTCACTCGCGTTTTTTTTTTGGTATGAGAGACATCTCATATGATGATAATGAAATAAAAAAAAAACCAAGAAGTTGCGTGCAATAGGCAAAGAGAAAAACGTAAAAGAAAATAAGTGTAAGGGGGGGCGCTAACCTGATGACGCGAAGTGTATATGTATATATATAGCTAATCACAAAACTGGATGCCAATCATCATTAGTTAATATTTATTACCTAGATGATATAAGATCTAATATAAAGTCAAGAAATTTTTGCTGTATATGTACATAATTTTTTTTAAACCGGCCTTAATATGTATTAAATAATAAATTATAATTGTAGAAAACTTAATTTTCAATACAATTTATGTGTGGATTCAAGTTTTGCAACAAAAAAACGAAATTCAGGTTGCATTTATAGTTGTTAATATTGGTTCCGATTCGCCGATTTGAGTCGCATTTCACCTTGAAACATTATCTAAATAAATATTGCACAATACAATTAAATACAAATTTGTATTAAATATATAGAATGTTGAATTTGTATTTAACAGTTTCAATGTCGTATCCTTGAGATGGTACACATACATATATATTACTTCTGACTAATTCTTATACCCTGAACCCATTTTCAATGGGAAATCAGGGTATAATGGTTTAGTTGAAATGTATGTAACAGGCAGAAGGAGGCGTGGCAGACCCCATAAAGTATATATATTCTTGATCAGGGCGACGAGCTAAGTTGATTTGGTCCTGTCCGTCTTTCTGTCTGTCCGCATGCTTGAACGCGTCGATTTCCGAAGATATAAGAGCTAGAGACTTGATTTTTTCTTTTAAATGACCGTATATACAGCGCGGATGTCGAGTTCGCTTTTAAAATTCGATAAATCATCCCGTTATGTTTTTATCGAATAAAAACATTCAAGTTCAAGTCAGATGCCACTATAGCTAATTGTGAATGATTTTTCATTTTTTTTAATTTCTCAGATATTCAATATAATATGTAGACCATATGCTGAAAGTTTCATTAAATTCCGTTCAGTCAAAAATTTATAAAAAATGATCAAATATTTGGCCATTTAAGAAACGCACGTGCAGCAGCTACAACAGATTCGTATACGTGTGCACACATACATTCAAACTTTTTATAGAACATTATTTGAATCACATCAGCTGTTAGTTTGGTTTAGTTTTGCTAGATGGCGCTGCAGCAGTGAATCTATTTCAGTTTTGCCAGTGTAGCTTCCGAAAGTCAGGTGGCGAAGTGAATAGCGGCATAACGCTCGATCGAGAAGTCGCGGTTCGAATCCCGATCGGTGCAACTAATGTTAATTTTTTTTAATCATTTCAAAATATGTTTATATTTTATTAAATGAGTTCTGTATTTCATTTATATTTTTAAATACATAAAAATTGAAATTTTAGCCATACTAAATGGGCATTTTTATTAGTTGGGTTCAGAGTAGTATATAGTCGTGCACTATCGACTAGAGTTTTCTTACTTGTTAAATTTCAATTACAGAGTGCGGTTTACATTTGAGTTTTGATATATTCCAACAATTTTGAGCGATATATCTATATCTTTATTGGGAGAATCCGTTTAGAAGTGTCTTTTCCAGTTAAGCTCAAAAAAAAAATTGGGGCTGGTAGTTTAATATGTTCTATATAATATGATTTTTTTTTTTGTCGATTTGTCAATTGATTTAAAAATATTGATCCTGCCTTCATTTAAACCATAATTAAGCATATTTTAGTCCAAAATTTAACCATGTTACAAGCTTGAAGGGCATAAGTGCTGCATATAGTATTCCCATTATTTGCCCTTGCCCCAAAAACGAGTCCGGCACAGGCAAGGACATACAGCTTTGTCCTTGACACCGTCTCTGTCGCGCCACTTCAGACGCAACTACGTAGAACCTTGTAATGAATCTATAACACCGAGGAAAACAGCAGCGACAGCAGCAGCAACTACAACTATGCACTACCCACAACAATGTGATGCCCCAATTTGCGTCGTCGGTGGCCTCGTTAGCTATTTCCAAAGTGCAGCGAAAACAGCAACAAGCGGTTGACTTTGACCCATTTAAATCCTCTGAGGTAAGCAATAGACGCAGCAGACCGATTATCGAACAGCTCAGTCAGCGTCGTCAGTTGTCGACGGCGGCTTCGCAAACATTGCAATAATCTGTGTCAATGTCAGCCGGCGTTGCAGTGGGCGGTGAAACGGTGTAAAACCAACTGAGGCAGAACATAAAACTAGAGAGAGCAAAGTATGTATAGACCAATAGAGACAAAGAGAGAGAACGTATGTAGTAAACACAAGCCACACACACAGAACGTGTGGCAGCCAATCGAAATGCAATTTCACTGCATGTGTTCTTATAGTGTGTGTATGTTTGTGTTCGCATCCTTGTGCCCAATCTCTAAATTATTTTACAAAACAGAACAAAAGACAAATGCACGCTACTCGAGAATCAGCTTGAGATACCCTGTACTTTATAAATCTAAATCTTAATACTACAATTAGCGAAATGTAACACTTCTTCGCTATTTGTTTATTCAGACTTTTATTATGATATTTCATGTATAAGCTTGAATGAGACTCTTACACACTGAATAAAGTGCAGGGTATTTGAATGAGCTTGCGCTTGGCCATAATTCTAAAGCACAGCGACCTTGTTCCATGTTGACCACTATTCTGAGGACTGCAACGACGCCCCTGCGGTGAGTTTTCCAATAGAAAATCTGCGCATGTGTGTGTGTGTATGTATATATATATATATATAGTATTGAAGGTCGGTTAAGTGGGCGACGAGACGCCTGACATTATTCAATGTCAGCCACAAGCAGGTCATCTACAATTACTAATGCTGTACTTGTAAATTGCAATTGCGTGCGATTGCTGACGGAGCAGCATCATGTAAACGAGATAGAGTTAAACTATAGCGAATCAGCTATGTATTATAGCGCAATGCATATTATATTCCTAATGAGTAGCTTAATTTCCAGGCTATATCAGTGTTTGTGCTCTTTTCTTTTTATTCGAATTCGCTGTTTTGAAAAAACACTTTAACTATATTATTGGGTCCCACCAATAACTTTGGAATTTGTCTTAGAAATTCAATTATTATTTGCAAGGCACATTGAAAGTAAGAATTCCAGCGTATGACATATATGTAACAGGCAGGACATTTGGAATATTTCTTCATACCACTTGCGGTACGTGCTTTTCATAATATTCCTTTATTATCAATGAAAATTAATAATTTTATTTCGTTTTTTATGCATGAAACAAGAAATTGCAAATGTAGCAATTATGCACATGAATCTGGGATCTGGGGATCTGGTTATTTCCCCTTGTTAACCTATCTGCTTATTTGTATGTATGTGTATTAACATTTACTCGCCATAAAATACTATTCAAATATATATAGTTAGCTTCCAGCAATATATCTTTTCGTAGAGTTTTATAGCAAGTAGTACTGAGTACCATTGAATAAAATAATTCAAATTGTTGTATTTGCACTTTTGTAGACTTCGTTTCCGTAAGATGATTTTTTACGCTTTTAAGTTAGCCTTTTTAGGTTGCTGCTTTTATTAATCCATTTGCAATTACCGGCTTGAATTTTTGTTTATTTTGTTTGTATTATTTCATCCAGAATATTGCCAGCGTTTTAAACCAATTCCAGAACTAATCATAGAAATCAGACCTACTTACCCCCTTGGTCATCAATCTCTAGACCAAATTCATCCTCTGAGATAGACTCATCATCGGAGCTTATATTGGATCCACTGAGATTTCCTGCTTGATGTTGTTGGTGCTGTTGCACCTGTGTTGTAATGGTTGTGACTTTCGTTGCGTCACACGAACTGGCCGCCAGCTCATCGATGCTATGCAGCGATCTTCGATGGGCTGATGTCATCCCCGCTGCTGCTCCAGCCGCTGGTGTTGTTGTTGTTGTGTCAGCCATTCCATTGCTAGCTGCCACAACCGCGTCCTTGCTGTTACTGCTCGGTACTACGTCAAAGTCCAAGAGCTGTGCTGTTGTGGAGCTTAAAAATCCAGATGAGCTCACAACACGTGTTGAGACGGATCCATTCTTCAATGGATTTAGTTGGTGGTACACTACTGGATTTGACTTTTGGAGTAACAGTGGATCAATGTCATTGAGCGATTCAATGTTAACCATGGATGGGTTATTGGTATTTGTATTGGTATTGATATTGGTATTGGTATTCGTATTCGTATTAGTATTGGTATTGGTATTGGTATTGGTATTGGTATTGGTATTGGTATTGGTATTGGTATTGGTATTGGTATTGGTATTGGTATTGGTATTGGTATTGGTATTGGTATTTGTATTGGTATTGGTATTGGTATTGGTATTGGTATTGGTATTGGTATTGGTATTGGTATTGGTATTGGTATTGGTATTGGTATTGGTATTGGTATTGGTATTGGTATTGGTATTGGTAGTGGTAGTGGTACTTGTGTTGTTGCGGCTGTTGAACAGTATATTGGCAAACGATGACATTGTGACTGATTCTAATATGAGCGGACCATTGTTACCACTAGATGGCTCTGATACCTTAACATCGGCAGGATTGTTGTTCGTGCTGTTGCTGCTATGCGGATTGGGACTGACGAATATCCGATCGCACAGTCCACTCAAAGATACAGCAACATCCAATTGACTGCTGTCGATGGCCTGCAATGAGGTAAAGTTGCCAACCACTGGATTAGATTCAGGATTGGACTGAGTGTCCTTTTTCAACTGCGCATAGTTAATGAAGGGTAAAATCGGACTACTGCCAGCGGCCAACATCTGATCCTTATGATTAAGATGCTGATGATGCTGCGGTAGTTGCTGTTGTAGGTGTTGACGATGTTGGTTGTTACTGCTATCGTTATTGCCGCTGGCATAACTCACGAAACTCCTGCCACTGCTCTCGGCCAGAAGAGGTACATTAAAGTTCTCCATAGTAATATGTTTCTTTCTGTGATGTACTCTTAATTATTTTTGTTTTCCTTAAAGTTTTAGTGATGTGTAATTGATGCTGTTGGGCAGGTAACTATAGTAGTCGATGTACTCCAACTAAAAGAAATCAAGGTATTATAAATTATATAAAAAGTACAATATTTTTAAATACAAAAATATACAGAAAAATGCTATAAGGAAGTTGGAAATTAAAGTCAGAGACCTAACCAAACAAGACATCTCGAAGACCTCTACAACACATACAATCAGTTCATTAGGCCCCATTCAAGTTTGTGTTGGAGGCTCGCTCAACAGTACCTCAAATCAATACGCGCCAAGCATTCAACTGAATTGTTCCGTTGCTTACTCCCCGCTTTCCTAAATCTACCTTTCTGAAAAATGTATATATTGTTCCCATATAAAACCATATTTTTCCTGTCTGTATAAATTGTTAAAACCTAGGTTTTTTAGTTGTTCGATATTGTGGACTTCACACACATTAAAATATATATGTATATATGTACGTACATACATGCATCTACAGATATCAATAAAGATTATAAGTACTTTAATAACTAAAACCCATAACTATAAACCCATATATCAAGAAAACTATAGCAAAACCCTAACTGTCACATTGAGGCAGCAAATAAAGTGGAAAGCTACCTAAATACACTAGCAGCTTGGTATAAGAGATGGAATTTGAAAATAAATCCACGGACGACCACTAACCAATGCTTTACCCTGAAAACCTTCATCAGTCACACCCAGAGAAACACTGGATCAGCCCTCGCAGGCAAAGTACCTTGGCATCACCCTTGACAAGCGCCTAAAGTTTGGTCCTCACCTAAAAGCTGCGGCTAAGAGGGCAACGCATGCAACAACTGCGGGGGCTGGTTAACAGACGAACGAAGCACCATGTTACTGAGAGCTAAGAGAGCGATTTGGCTCTACGGTGTGCAGATTTGAGGAATATGCGCAAAATCCAACTATAAACGCATACAGGTCCTGCAAAATCGGGTATCGCGACTCTACCTTGCATCGAGATCTGAAACTGTATACAGTGGAGGTATAGATTGGGAGACACACTAGCAGATATAGTGATATACTGGCTAGCCACCGTTGCAGACTAGCGAAAAGATTGCTCCCTGCGAGGTCACTAAGGCGACAAACGCTTGGGTTTGCCAAAATTATTAGATAATTTTAGTTTACTAATATTTTGAATATTTATAAGTCCTCCTGTGCATATCAGAAGGTTAGGCTTTTTATATTGTTTTCTAACTGTGTTGTGAAGCTACTATATTTGCATTGTACGGATTCAACGATTAAATAAATTAAAAAAAAAAAAAAAAGGCAATGTCCTGATCCTGACTAATTTGTACATATACACCCGTTAGTGGACTATAAAAGATTTAAGTTGGGGTCAGGAAATTTAGGAGTGTTCACAGGTGCCAGGATGCCTAAGTTATGCTCCTCATTGCCATACACAGTGGTGCATGTCACAAAAACTTCACAATTGACACCTCACAACTGTGATTATCGCATGCGTTACGCATGTGTGTGTGCAGAGTACGAGATCAAGGAACCGCAAGCCCAGGGCCGGATTCGCTCTCAAAAGGCCCGTTGTCATCGTTTTCGTTACTTGTGAGAAAATTTTATTTCATTTTTCGGGGGCCTCAGGCTGCCTTATCTGTCTGCTTGTTAATCCGGCTCTGATCAAAACTATATAAGAATATATAACTCTAACAGAATACCTTATTTTTGACATATGTACATATATGATAACAAGTTGACTAGTTACTAATACTCAAATCCTAAAAAGACACAAAATACTGTACAGGATACTCAATTGAGTAAATTTGCCATGGTGCCATATCTGTATATATATTCCAGTTTTTAACTCTCTAGAGCCCCACAAAGCAAGTCTTCATATATATTCATCTTAACACGGACAAGAAAACAATATATTCATTTCACTGAATACGTATAAAAATATTCTATACATCTGGGAGTTCGTTATGGCCGGCGGGTCATACAGTGTAAAGAAACAGAGTACAATAATATTAACCACAAACCTTCCATTCATGCTCAATAAATTTGCTTTATTTTTGTGGCGTCGGCAGCAACGTGTTGGTGCAGCGCATGCGCCGCTACATCAACAGCTTAACAGATCACAACAAAAACGCTGATACTACTCCGTCGTCTTTTGGGGAGCACAGTTTATTCTGATATTTCTTATTGTCGTTCTTAAAACCAGTTGGGACCGAAAGCAAAAGTGCTATTCTTGCCGTTGTTGTTGCTGGCCCGTTCGCCTCCTCTATTTGTTTGTACACTTCACACGGTTATTCGCACTAAGAAGAACTATCGTGATTCATGCTGCCCCTGTAGCTTCGATCTCTCTGCTACAAGCAGCACTGATGCAGTTTCCGCCTGCGCCAGCAGCAGCTGCGAAGTCGTCGTCAAGAGCTTTTTCAACATATTTTTAGCTTCTGTGGCACTCGCAACCACAGTTGCGCTCACTTTTATTATTCTTGTTGTTTTCGTCGCTAGTATATGTTCTTCTTATTTGCGCTGCGCCAATTTTGTTGCTTCTTTCGTTTTCATTTTGCCTATTCGTTATTCGCTCTTGCTGTTGTCTTTCGCGTATAGAATTTGTTTTTGCATGGGGAGACGATGGCATCAGTGTTTATTGCTTATTTCTATGTATGTATGTATGTGTATAAGTAAAAAAAAAAAAAAGTAAATTTATTGCAATTATGCCGAGCCAGACGGCGAAAACTTCTTGCACAACGGCAGTAACGAGAACGAAACGAAGGGAAAGGCGAGCACGCGCAACAAGCGAAAAGCTCTTCCTACAAAAACAACAAATTGCAATTCCCTATACACACAAACGAACGAACACATGAGAACGACGCACGCATACATGTGTATTCAGTTATACACATATAATTACAAACATTTACGTGCTGTTGTTGTTTTGCGTTTTGCTGGCAGGGGGCGCTTTAATTTTGTTATTTTAGCTACTTTGCTCCAATTCTATGACCGAACAAAAACTATATATGTATCTGCGTACATACATAAATGTGTACAAACATACATAGGTATGTGATAGTTTTACAAAACTTCCACCACCGTTATTTAAATTACATAGCTTCAGCTGATGCTACTAGTCATTTATGTATATTAATACACATTTTCATCTTGCGTTTCAATTTTTGTGGCTTTTGTTGCTATTCTTGCTTTCGAAACTGCAATGCTCGCACAATTTTAGCTTCACTTTTCCTACCGTCGACACGCGCCATGCTGATAGAATATAGTTGCTTTTACTTTCTATCTATTGTTTATTTCGATTTTTTTCGGGAAAACTTTGCACAGCACACAACACACGCAAGAATTAGGTCTGTAGGCCAACACAAACGGGAACACTATAAGAGCAGCGAAGCTGTTGGCGTAGGTAGAAGAAGAGGAAAGCACACACGCATACAAACACACAGCATACGAACACAAGCATAAAAGTACAAAGAGATGGACTGTTCGACTGTGGAGCGGGGCCAAGGACGTGTAAATGGCAGCAAGCACCAGCAACAATGCTAAAATTATTCTTGGCCTTTAAACGCGCATTTGAAGAACAAGGACGGCATCATATGGCAGACACCACCACAAGCTTTGAGCTTAAAGCTTTTATACGTCAAATCAACTTTGTATTCGTGCTCAATGGCTTTGGTAAAAACGGCCCCTATTGGAATAATATTAAACTAACTGGCGCCACCTTGCAGAGCTTTTATATGCAAACATTCAAGTCGTCTAGAGGTTTTTGTTTTTTTTTTTTAATCACAACATAAAATTTAACAAAAAGCAGTATTGAAAGGCATTTTACTGTTTTAAAAGATATGTGTAATGCATATAAAAAATCTTTGTAAGAGTATATTTACAAAATAATGGCAACCAGGTTAAGTCCATCATTTTTAATTTGGTTTAGAATAAGTTTTGAATACAAATTATTAATAATATTAAACGAGCAAAAATTAAAGGGTTTTTATTAAAATTTCTTTTACTAGTCTACATCAAAATTATTTTGATGATTTCTGCTTCTGAAGCAAGATGATAAGGAAAAAATAGTAGGCGATATCTTTAAAAGATTCCATTCATAATCTTCAAAACACGAAAGTTTTTAGATTTTATTGATAGAAAATAGTTTGCATTTCCGTTTATATATGTTATTACAAATTACACTTTTTCATATAAATATAATCATTAAACATGTTTACTGTTTCTTATTTACAATATAATACACCAATTTTAATATACATTTATAGATTTTAATATATAAATATATATATTCATATTAATATAATATAAACACGTCCTTTGTGTGTTCTATATAAATTGCAAAAACGATTTTTTACTTTAATATTTCTAATTATTAGTTTAATATTAGATCAAAAAGTTATAAATCTAGATGAAAGTTTAAACATGTTTATTAGCTTATGCACACTGGAGTGTTTAATCATATATAATTGTTTAGTTATACGTAGTAATTTCAATTGAAAATACATTATTCATATATACACCTTTCTTGCATTATTTATTTATAGCAATTACTTTCTATCTCATTAAAATAATATAATTTTATTCTTTGTGTTGATTAAAACCCATTAATTTAATTACACAATTAGGTCTCTTACATTTCGATTAGCTTATTTATCGATTTATCTGGTGCTCCATTTGTCAAAGAATGATATCAATTTCCAATTTGCGTTGCTCATTTTTTGTCTATGTGTTTCTCTTGCATTTTTATATTTTGTTGAATGTGTGGGTATAGCACCTTTGTATCACTTTGCACTTAGCTTTAATTGCTTCGTAGAAGACTGTCTTCCAAAGACGAACTACACTGACCGCTAACATTGGCTTACCTATACATATATATATTTAAAGTAGCACAATGTATTATCTAATGTCTTAAAGCTTACGAAATTCTCTTTCTAAAATTTCATTAAAATTGTTTTAACGCCCAACAAATTTTTAACACTATCGTTGTATCTGATGAGCACAACCTTTGAGGAGCTAAACATATTCAACTTCTCGCCGGCACACAGGAGCTGGAGGCACGTCGCCTGTTTCAGAAAATCGTCAATTTTGAACTCTCTCAGCAGTTGCTTCTGGTTGCTGGCTAGGCTGTTCCCGTTTGGACAGATCTATTAAAAAAAGGAATAAAATGAATAAAATGTTGTGTCAATAATACAGTTTGTTGTGTGCACTTACCTTATTAAGCAGCGTATCCTTTGACTTAACCTTAAGTAAATTGCACAAATCATTAAGGAGTACCCATTTATCACTGCCCTCATCTTTGAGCAAGTATAGTGGTGGCAAGGGCACATCGGCTTCTTCGAATTTAAAAATATCACCGTTCAATTCATCCGATAACGCGTCTCTGTCGTCGTCATTGTATTCCTGTTCATCATCAGCTTGATCGTTGCGATCATCCACTATATCATTACCTTTCACATAATTATTTATATTCAAATTGTCAACATATTGCGGTTCCTGTTTAACCTCATTCTTGCCATTCACAACGCTCGTTACATTTTGTTCAACGTTAATATCATTCTTCCTATTATTATTGTTGTTGTTTGTATCCTCTATGCCCGCACCAGGCTCTGATTTTACTTGCCGTTGCGTTGCTGTTGCTTCTGTTTGTTTAACGGCTGTTGCTGATTCTGTAGCTATTGCTGTTGATGTAATTATTGTTTTCGTTGCAGTCTTTGCATTTATCTCCCCATTCGCATTAATTTTTTCCTTGCTATCTTTTCTCTCACGCAGTAATTCATTTATATTTCTGTTTTTACTGTCGGTTTTGGGCCCTGCTGGATTGTCGTTGTCGCCATGGCTGCGTTTCTGCTTAATTCTGCCTCTAGCTTGAGCTCTGCTCATATCACATGCTGTATTCGGTAAATTATCGAAAATATTAAAACCATTTTCCTTTTCATCTGCAAGCAAGTAAAGAATTATATTTTTATTTAACTGTAGTATGCTCAACATCTATGTATGTGATGTTTACCAAATATCTCCCAGGGTCCCGGAAATCTCATCGGTTTTATGTCCTCAGCCGCACTTTGTGCATCGCTGAGATGACTGCTCAATACGCCAAACATCAATTTGCTTGAAGCTAACATGAGTGGGGTTTGGCCTTTAAGATAAAAGAAATATAGATCGAACGGATGAAAAGGATGGTTGAAATTGTTTTGTAAATTTATTTAAATTGACAATAGATCATTTGGAAAATAATATTAATAACAAGTAAGAAAGCTTTAGCCAGATTACTCGACTACGAGGTACCCTGAACACTTCGAGGAACTGATATTGCAATAATTCTTCGCGTCTTTCTTTTCTTGTAGATGGACTTTCTTCATGAAACTTTTAGACTGAGATTTTATCATTAAAACGCGTGCATTTGGGGGTGGGGGTCTATTTTAACGAAAAATCCAAATTCAATAGAATACATATGAATCCACATTTAAAATATAGAGACTTTAGCTCTTAAGGTGTAGAAGATATAATTAAATAACTTATTTTCGATGAGTTTTAATCGATAAAAAATAACGGAATGAGTTATCGATTTAACCATTATATCCTGATTTCCCATTTTCAATGGGATCAGGGTATAAAAATTAACAAATCCGCTTTGACTGATTATGGAAAAAACCCTATATAATTCTGTATATAGTGAATTGTATGTCGTGGCGTTACATTTATGTTTTTGCCTTCCAACGAGTTCCCGGTGTCGCTTAATTCTTTTTACCAAGGTCTTCCTTGCTGAATAGTGTTTTGTCAAGTCTCGTTTCTCCTCTTCTGTCAAACACCTAGTTCTGGTCGCATATTCCTGTTTATCGAAAGCATAGCGATCCTGTGCGAAGGTCATAACTATCCGTCTCGCTCTCACCCAGCGACACCCGGGACCACGTTCACCAACAGCTATAGTTGTCATTCTCCTAGTGACAATACATTCTTTAATTTTCACTAAAATACTAAGTCAATCGTTTAACACGAACTGCAAGTTTTTCTTAACACTATTGGATCGAGAAATCTCATGGTAACTTCAACAACAGCGTAATATCACACCGATACGACACGGCCCTACTGGCGCTTACACGTCCATGAGTAATTAGTTTGTCATACTATCATTCCGAAACGTATAATAAATAATATACAATTATTATTTTTTCTTTCTTTTGTCATTTACCTGAGTATGTCGCCAGCAACGGATCAGCGCCATAGGATAATAATAATCGAACCACCTCCTCATGGTCATTCTCTATAGCTCCATGCAGAGGTCGAATACCTGACTGGGCGGCCACCGAGTGATTGGCACCGAATTGCAAAAGAATTCTGGCTATTTCTAACCAACCCTGCGTGCAGGCCTCGTGTAGCGGCGTATAACCAGCATTGTCTTTCTGATCCGGATTCATGCCCATGCGATCCAGGCAGTAAACAACCACATCGATTAGACCCTGACGTGCCGCCTTGTGCATTGTGCTCTGACCAACGCCTTTGTTGAGCACCCACTTCTGTATTTCACGGCACACGTCCATTTCGGTCTTGACCGCCATCGGCAAATGGGATGTGCTTCCCGCGATGGTACTGTCGGTATCATCCAGACGTTCATCATCGGCTGCCACCGTTTCTACCACTGTTGCTGATGCAGTGTGAGTCGGAAAGATGTTGGTTGCCGTACGATCACCGGATACAGTGTTAATGGTGTTCGTACTATTGCTGGTATTGGTATTCTGATGGTGATGTGTAGGGCGCTTTTTTTTACGTATATAGTCGAAACCAGAGCTCCCCTTGCGACGCAAATACTTACGCTTATAGGCTATCGGTCGACTGGGCAAATCTGTTTCTGTCTTTTGCTCTACTTCACCGCTAATGTTGTGCCGGGAAAGCTTGTTATTATTAGCGGTAACAATACGATTCATTTGGTCTAGAAAGTCCTCATATTGCTGATAGCTCAATGCAGCACATTCCTCGCCGGCCTGGTCGTGCTGCGCACACTCTGGAGGTGCTGAGGCCGGCCGTTCCGTGCCCACAAATATTTCGCGTATGATCTCGCGTCGCTGCTGCAATTTGGATTCTGTGCGGGTTTTACTCTGCAGTACCTTTGTATCGAATATGCTAAAATGACGCTTGCCTAGGGTATTATCCTCCATACTGGGCTCCGTCGCCTCCTGCAAGTGTTCATATAATGAATTCGAGGCGGAGGTCTGTGAGGTTTCACTATAATTATGAAGGCTTGTGGCGCAGTTGCTCAGATTGCTATTGGTCTGCTGTTGTTGGCTGCCATTGCTAGTAACACGGAGATGCAGTACATCGATAATAGATTTAGGTGTCGTCTTCTGCTGTTGCTGCGATTGCTGATTCGGTAGTTTAGATCGTGGCTTTCGCCCTCTAGTGGGCTTAAAGGAAGCCATACCCTGAGTGAGATACCGGCCACGGTCTAGATCCGGTAAGGACGCTGCTACTTGAGGCAATTTATTCAACTTGTTGATGGAGATCAAGCGTTGTGGTATCTTAAGTGCCAACTTATATCTATATTCCTCCAGAAACAGCTGATGCTGTGGTGTTGCATTTGTTTGGCTAATATTTGCCTTGTTGCTGGTCTGACGGCCGGATTTGTGACTGGGATTGTTTTTGAGCTTACGTCCCGACAAAGGTGCCCTGTCGATAATCTCATCGCGTTTGTTTCGCAGCCGTGTTATCATAATTTCCTTCTTAGAATCTGGCACCAGTTTACGTACATATTTTCGCTTAATCTTTGTTGTCGAGTTCCGTATGATTTTGTCATTTCGCAGCACTTTGCTGTTCGCCAACTGAAGCTCAAGTTCCTTTTTTCGTTTGGATCGCGTCATGGTGTTAAGTGCTATGCGATTTTTAAAAGTGGGTTTTGCTTTCCGATTACTATGATTGCAAGCGCTGTCTTCCTCAGCATTCGCATTTTCTTCTTCGTCGCCGTCGTCTTCAACATCGTCACCCTGCTGCTCCCGTGGCTCTTCATCATCACTGTTGTCGCTTCCATTCGAGCTAGTTTTATCGTCAGCATTTCCCTCTGGGCTCTGATTCTGTCTTATCACTTTTCCTCGTTGCGTTTCGATTTTAATTTTTTTACACGTCACACTCGCGTATTGCACTTTAGTTTTCTTAAAAGCGGGTATCAAGATTTTCGTCGCATTAGCGGAATTCTTTGTCTCACTGGAGCCATTGATTCGCTTTTCTTGCTCTTGCTCTGGCTTTGACTTTTGCTCCTCATCGCTGCTTGGCTGCTCGCAATGCTTCAATTGCATCTCCTTATCATCTGTCCGACGTGCTTTATTCTTGCGCATAAGAGGTTTCTTTTGCCTGGCAGTCTTACGCTTACGTAGCTCGGTTGAATCACTCTCGGAACTACTGCTGTGACCAGCCGTGGGTGCCAATCGTGCAGCTATTCGCTGCTCCTGCATCAGCCGCTTCTTTTCACGCTCCGTCTTGCTTAGCTTCTTTTGAGCGGCGCTGAACGCATTCCCATTCGTTGTGGTTGTGTTAGTCAGTTGTGTGGTAGTTGTTGCCGCCGATTCGACATCCGCTGCCAGTGGCTGTCTCTTAAGTATCCGCGCCACGGGTAGATCGTCCTCGCTCAGCTCGAGCTTGATCCGGCTGGCTGTGGCAATGCTCTCATTACCCGATGTAGTTTTCGCGGGCAATGCTTTACAGAGCAGCTGCTTTACGAGATTGTTGCAAGTACTACCCCAGTCACAGAGACTGCTGCTGTTGAAGCTTGGCGAGTCGCCATCGTCCACATCTTTCACATCGGGTTCCGGAGTGGCCACCGGCTCCAATTTTATTTGAATGTGATTGTTCACGTTATTGGGTTGCAGTGCAGGTGTGGGTGTGGTAGTATCCGCTGTAGCACTGTTATTGTTTTCAATACTTGTTGGGATATCTGTTGTTATTGATGTTGTTGTTTTTGTTGAATTAGCTAAAGTTAGATCTGGTGTCGTGAACGTGAATCCTTTAAGCTCTGCCTTAGTTCGTATACGTGACTCCGTCTTTGACACCACCAACTGTTCCTGCTTAGGCTGGGAACAAACAATCACGCGGCTACTGGAGGGCAGTATTGGTTGTTCTACACGCTTTGCCAGCGGCACTTGCTTATTGGCAGCTATAACCGGCACTGATGTGTCGACAATGCCTTCTATCTGAGTTCTTTCCAAACGCGACTGTTTGGCTGCTGCTGCTGTGGCTGCCTCTACTGCAGCTGCCGCCGCTGCTGTGGCTTGATTGTACTCCTGTAGATGACGCTTGCGACCCAAGTAGTTCGGGTTGCTGCTATTGTGGGCACTATTCGTTATCGTGCTCACGGCTGTGCACGTACTAGTTGTGCTGGGACTATGCGCTGGATTTGGCACTACTTTAACACTTGTCTCAGGCGGCAGCTGGGGTCGCCTCGCGTATGGATTGGTTTCCAATACGCTGGGCCGCAACTGCTGTGCCGCCTTAATGACCATGGATGTTGCTTCAACTGGCAACGCTGTATTTGCTGGCGCCTGCCGAATTACTGCTGCTGGCAATGCGGCTGATGGGCTCGACACTATCCTGTTGGTGCGTGCAAAGTTTGGTGTTATATCAAAACGTGGCAAGCCTGTACCTGTGCCTGATACTGTTATTCTGTCAAATGAATCGGTAGGCATGCGCTGATATTTATATTCTGTGGAGTCGGCGGTCTGTTTGATCGTTCGCATGGACAAATCCAAAGGTGACTGGGCGGTAGGCAAAGTGGGCTGCGGCGTTGGTTGTTGAATAACTGGAGGCAACGTTGGATGAACAGTAATTGTGACTGGCGACTGCCGGATTCTGCCGGGTACTGTAGGTACTGTGGGTACTGTGGGTAACCGACTTCCCGGAGTTTCCATATTGAGCGTCTTCTTTATAATTTGAAGATTGAGCTCCTCTTCACTAGTCGTATTTCGTTTTAACATGTCATTGATTAACGCCCGATAATTGGGCTTAGAAGAGGGTGGAGTTTTCTTTGGACCAGAGGGCTGCGACGGAGCTGATTTTAAAGCCATCGACGGCTGACAGCAGATGTCAGGCCCATGTGAATATACTTGCAGCGTAGAATAATTGGGCGCAACTGTATGTGTGCTGCCCGTCGGAGGCGGGGTATTATTATAGAGCTGCTGGGCTGGTAAAGGTGAAGCCACTTGAGCAGCTGCTGGAGATGGCGTACCATGGTTATAATAACCGGTATAATTGTTTATAGAGCTGAATGAACTTCGCCTCTGCTCACCAGCGCTCGATGTCCCTGTCCCTGTCGTTGTTGGCGTTTCATGCTGAGGCAAAAGTTTGTCATACTTGGTGGGATAGGCATATGCCAACGAAGGCGATGTGTCGCGCGAACTTACGTCCACAGCAACGGACGCTGACTCTTTGAAAGGACTTGTTGATGGGGCTGTAGACGGACTGTAAGGATTATGGTAAAGTGAAGAACGGGCCAGCGCTGGTGAATCCGGCTCCAATTTGACACATGCGCCGCTGTCTCTGCTACTACTATTTCCTCCACTCACCGCTGACACACCATAGTAACCGGCTGATGGTCGTGTAAATATAGCGCCTTTGCGTGTATAGTCCAAATTGGGAGCAGGTGCAGTTTCTCGCACATATTTTTCAATGGCATTATGCACGGTATTTTGAAAATTTGAAGGCATGTATAGACTCTGATGTTGATGCTGCTGTTCCTGTTTAGGTGGAGCCTGTGGAGAAATCACTTTGTGATTAGCGCTGCGCTGCTCTGTTGGGGGCTCGTAATGCTGTGGACACTTGCGCGCATAATTGGGGCTAGGCTGCTGATCGCTTGTGGCCAGCAACGCATTCATCGGATTTACCACTTGTTCCAGTAGCTCATAAGGGGCGGTAGGTGCATAGTTTACGGCCTTAGCGCAAGATCCAACAGTAGAGTATTTACTGTTGTCCTCGTAGTAGCGAATACTGCTTTCGCCTCCATTTACGCTTCCATTGCTGCTATTGCAGCTGATTGCAATTGGTCGTGTGGCCGTTTGAGATTTGCCATATCTTAAACGTGATTGTTGCTGTACTGAATGTAATTGTTGCTGCTGATGTTGCTCGTCCTGCAGCCAGTAGTGCCCATTGTATATGGCGCTACTGTGGTGACGTTGCACAGGTGCCACTCCGGTTGTCCCGCTCGTCTTGTATTGCCAACCAGGATAGGACGTCATTTCCGTTGACCTCTTGCCGGCGATCAAATCTCGGTTGGAGGTATAGTATTGTAAATGTGGATCGTCCCCAGATGCAGTAGCAGCAATACCGGTTGACGGCATTATCGACGAAGCTGCAGCTGTTCCCCCCGGATTACTACTGGTTCCAGCGCCACCACCACTACTCCGTGCGCTCATCAGATAGACGGTGGATCGGGTACGTTCCGCATCCGTTGGCTGTGTGTTATGGTAATTATTGATTGAGCTGGGGTAGAGTGAGTTGCTACCACCCAATTGGTAATGCGGATGTGGTGGCAAGTGTTGCTGCGGCGGTTCCTGTTGTTGTTGCTGTGGTGTTGCTGCAGGTGGTTGTTGCTCGTGCTTATGGTGGTGCGGGGCTATGTAGTTGTTCACTACATGTTGTGAATACGTAGTTACATGTTGATGCTGTTGTGGGTGGTGGGACTGATGCGTTTGATATTCGTTATGTCTGAGAGGATCCATTGTAGCTGTAATGAAAAACAATATTAAATATAAAGTAAAGTGTCTAAAATAACAGGTTAATTATAAATTTATCCATCTATCTATATGGATGCAATTTTGTCGACGCTATTACCGGTAGATACCAGAAACTTGGAGCGTACATATACTTATGTATGCTCTTGAATTACCAAGTGTCAAGTTTTTCTCGATCCGGCCACTTGGAACATGCATTATCCGGTATCTCAGGCCAAAAAAATGTCGCGGATAACGCTCAAAAGTTAATATCCTCAAAGGTATTGGAGCTAGAAATTAAAAAAAAAAAAAAAAAAAAAAAAAAAAAAACAAGTAAGAAAGCTCTAGTCGAGACTGCTCGACTACGAGATCCCCTTAACCCTTGGAGCAATAGATATTTCAATACTTTTTCGCGACTTTCAGCTTACACAAGAAACACGCACACACACACACACACACGCACGTACGCACACACAGGTAAACATACACACACACACGCATAAAGACACACATACACACACACACACACTACAGACACAAACGCATACACACACACACATACACACACACATACACATACAAGCAACCACGCATAAACACGCATCGGCTGCAGTGTGCGCTTACTATGAGAACTTAATTGTTTAATAACTTTTTTTATGGACGTACGATCTTCATGAAACTTTTAGATTATGATTATAACATGAATATGCATGTAATTGCCAAAGCACAAGTCTCTAGTATTTGAAATACGCTTTTTACAAAAGTGAGGGGTGAGGGGGTGAATTTAGAGGTGGGGGGTAAATTTTAACAAAAACCGAAATTGTATAAATTGCATATAAGCATACATTAAAAATTTGGAGACTCTAGCAATAAAGGTGTAGAAGATATAATTTTATAACTGGGTTTCGATAAGGTTTTTTATCGATAAAAAAAGATCGGGATGAGTTATCGATTTTTAATGATAAACTTGATATGCGCGCTGTAATTACGGACATTTTAAAAAAAATTTCAAGTCTCAAGCTCTTATATCTTCTGAAATCGACGCGTTCATACATACGGACAGACAGACGGACAGGGCCAAATCAACTCAGCTCGTCACCCTGATCAAGAATATATATACTTTGTGGGGTCTGCCACGCCTCCTTCTCCCTGTTACATACATTTCAACAAAACCATTATACCCTGATTTCCCATTGAAAATGGGTTCAGGGTATAAAAAAACAAGTAAGAAAGCGCTAGTCGAGACTGCTCGACTACGAGATCCCCTGAACCCTTCAAACAACTGATATTTCACTGATATTTATTCGCATATGCACACACACACGCATACGCACCCACGCATAAACACGCATTGGTTGCAGTGGTGGCTTGGTTCCCTTACCATTAATTGTTTAATAGCTTTTCTTGTAGGTTGACTATCTTCAGATTTTCAGATTATATGATTATAACATGGATATGTTTGCATTTGCCAAAACACAAGTCTCTAGTATTTGAAATACGCCTTTTACAAAGGTGAGGGTGAGGGCATGAATATAGGGGTGGGGGTAAATTTTGACGAAAAATCGAAATTCTATAAAGTACATAGGAATCTACATTTAAAATTTGGCGACTCTAGCCTTCAAGATGTAGCAAATGTAAATGTAGCAAATAAATGTAAATTTATATTAGCTATATCTTTAAGGCTAGAGTCACTAAACTTTAAGTGTAGATTAATATGTATTTCATAGAATTTCGATTTTCGTGAAAATTACCCCCACCCCTATATCCACCCTCACCGTCATATTTGTAGAAGGCGTATTTGCTTTGGCAAATACATGCATATGCACGTATAATCATAATCTGAAAGTTTCATGAAAGAAGTTATTAAACTTCTTTTATTTTTTTTTTCAGTACGCAATGTTCAACCTATTATATGGATATATGCTAAGGATAACGCATAGCAATGTATTTTGACTTCAATAGAACTTTATTCTCTTAACGATGAAGAAATATTTTTACTCTATTGCCAACAACAACAACAAGAGTAATTTATTCAAACGATAGACTTAAGAGATCAGAAAAATGTATCAAGATTAATCGAACACTGCGTTAAGTAATAACAAGTAAGAAGGCTCCAGTCGAGACTGCTCGACTAGGAGATACCCTGAACCCTCTAAGCTGATAATCTAATCATTCTGCACTTCTTCTATGCACACATACATACACATGCACTTATAAGCACGCGCTCTGCTGCGCTGCAATGTGGGCAATACTATGACAATTTATTTGTTCAATAATATCTTTTGTAGATATACAATCTTAATGAAACTTTCAGAGCGTAATCAAATGGTTAAAATGTGTGTACATTCCAAAGCACAAGTCTCTAGTACTTGAAATGCATTTTTTATAAATTTGGGGCGAAGGGGGCGTGGTATCCAAAATCTGTAAATTGCAAAATCTTTGTGTCCAATTACTCTATATACAACGCAAATTTGAAGTCTCCAGGTTCAAAAGTGTTCAAACTAGGCTGAAAAAACCAAGTCGATTTTTCGATTATTCTCGATAAAAAAGTTATCGAAAAAATAAAGCAAACTCGTACTGCCTATAGTATACACGAGTATGCGTGCCAAATTTCAGCTCTCTAGCTCTTATATCTTCTGAGATCCTTCTGCTCATACGGACGGAAAAAAAAATCGATGTCAAAACAGGTTAAATCCGTAATATAGGCCAATGGGGACGTTACACAATTCTAATGTTTTTTTATACCCTGAACCCATTGAAAATGGGAAATCAGGGTATAATGGTTTTGTGAAAAGTATGTAACAGGCAGAAGGAATCATCGCAGACCCCATAAAGTATATATATTCTTGATCAGGACGATGAGCTGAGTCGATATAGCCCTGTCCGTCTGTCCGTCCGTATGAGCAAAAGGATCTCAGAAGATATAAGAGCTAGAGAGCTGAAATTTGGCATGCATACTCGTGTATACCATAGGCAGTACGAGTTTGCTTTATTTTTTCGATAACTTTTTTATCGAGAATAATCGAAAAATCGACTTGGTTTTTTCAGCCTAGTTTGAACACTTTTAAACCTGGAGACTTCAAATTTGCGTTGTATATAAAGTTAAAAGATACAAAGATTTTTTAATTTACAGATTTTGGATACCACGCCCCCTTCGCCCCCAATTTATAAAAAACACATTTCAAATACTAGAGACTTGTGCTTTGGAATGTACACACATTTTAGCCATATGATTACGCTCTAAAAGTTTCATTAAGATCGTATGTCTACAAAAGAAATTATTCAACAAATAAATTCTCATTATATTGCCCACACTACAGTGCAGCCCAAGCGCAGCCGCTGCTAGCTGCGCAGTTTGCAGAGCGCGTGCTTATACGTGCATGTGTATGTATGTGTGCATAAAAGAAGTCCAGAATGATTAGAATATCTGTTTGGAGGGTTCAGGGTATCTCCTAGTCGAGCAATCTCGACTGGAGCCTTCTTACTTGTTTTCTATTAGATTGTTAATAGATAAAAAAAACGGGATAAGTTATCGATTTTTTGAGACAAACTCGATATCTGAGTTATATATACGAACATTTGAAAAACAAAAATACAAATCTCTAGCTTTTATTTCTGAGATTGAGGCGTTCAAACATACATACGGACAGGGCAGAATATATATACTTTATGAGGTCTGGCACGCTTCCTTGTGCCTGTTACATACATTTCAACATAACAATTATACTCTGACTTCCCATTTTCAATGTTTTCATGTAAAAAAGCTCTAGACGAGTCTGCTCGACTATAAGATCCCCTGAATCCTTCCAGCAACTGATATTTCAATAATTATTCGCACATGCACACAGACAAACACTCACACAGGCATACGCACCCACGCATAAACACGCATTGGCTGCAGTGTGAGTTTACTACGGGGATTTTGTTTAATAGCTTTTTTTGTGGGTGGACTATCTTCATGAAACTTTTAGATTATGATAATAACATGAATATGCATGTATTTGCCACAGCACAAGTCTCTAGTATTTGAAATACGCCTTTTAAAAATATGTGGGTGAGGGGTGAATATCTGGGTGGGGGGTAAATTTTGGCAAAAATCGAAATTCTATAAAGTACATATAAATCTACATTAAAAATTTGGCGACTCTACCCTTAAAGATATAACTAATATAAATTTACATTTATTTGCAAGCTTTAAAGATGTAGGAGATATAAATTTACTACTGGTTTTCGATAATGTTTTTAATCGATAATGAAATAACAGGGCAAATGATCGATTTTTAAAGAAAACTCGATATCCGCGTTTTATACACGGACATTTTTGACATTTTGAGGCCTCTAGCTCTCATATCTTCTGAAATCGACGCGTTCAATCATACTGACAGACGGACAGGGCTAAATCAAGTCAGCTCGTCGTCCTGATTAAGAATATATACACTTTGTGGGGTCTGCCACGTCTCCTTCTACCTGTTACATAAATTTCAACAAAACCATTAACCCTGATTTCCCATTGAAAATGGGTTCAGGGTATAAATAAAAAATTGGGATGCAAACTTCGTCAAAAACGCAACCAACGCAGTTGAAGAAACTGCGGCAGTTGCGAACTGCCTGTCGATTGTAGAGGTCATGGCCTAAAATATCTACATATTGAAAAAGCAAAATTTATGTATGTATCTAGCAGTGTATGTGTGCACACATGTGCACGCGACATTGTGAGTGCTCTGTGCTCACTCTGCCGTTAGCGAAAATGTAAATAAATTGTGACGCCTTTTTTTGTTGTCGCTGTTGTTGCAAGTAATATAAATAACTATGTTCATGACTATTTGTGTAGGTATATATGCATGTGCACAGATGGACAGAGCGGAGTGCATACGCACTATTTTAATTTTAACTAAAACGAAGCACAATACTAATAAGAGCGCAACCACCAATAAACTATATGAAATGTACGGGTTAAAAAAAACGTAACAATTAATTTTTTTATATAGAAGCTTCTAGCTCTTAAACTGTAGGAGATATAAACTTTTGCGGTTTGCCACGTTCCTTATGGGCGAAGATGGACTTGCGTGGTCGACCCGAATATATATACCAATATATTTCAGGTCTCTAGCGTTAATAGTGCCTAAAATATAGCAGAATTTCAAAAATCACTATATATTCAGGTCCGATTTGCCACGCCCGTAGTTGGCGTAGACATATAATCTCTTCATCGATCGTTATAGAATTGCATTTTAGCATTCTAGCTTTAAAACTCTAGGAGATATAGTTGTACCGATTTGCCGCGCCCCCAATGGGCGTAGATCTTGTGCAGTGTGGGCTTACTACGGGAACTTAATTGTTAAATAATTTTGCTTGTGGGTGGACTATCTTCATGAAACTTTCAGATCGTGATTATTACCTTGAAATGCTGGCATTTGCCAAAGTAAAAGTCTCTTGTATTTCAAATACGCCTTTTATAAATTTAAGGGTGAAGGGTTGGATATGGAGGTGGCCGACACATTTAAAAAAAAATACATATGAATCTACATTAAAAATTGGCGTCTCTAGCTCTAAAGATGGAGCAAATATAAAGTCTCGAGCTCGACGCGTTTAAACATACGGACATAATGTAATGCAATATATTAACTACATTTTAAAATACTCTATCGATTACGAAATACGAAACTAAAGAAAATGAAATTTCAGATTATCTAGTTAATTATAAATAAAATATAAAAATCAATAATTATAATTACCTTTGTGACCTACAGTCCAAAGAGTTTGGAAAACTTCCTAAAAATGTTGACGACATTCAGCATCTGCAAGTAGAATATTTTAATATAAAATACAGTTGAAGTATACATAATATCGTCGCATTCCCGCGAATACATTTTTGGGGTCTACCACGCCTCCTTCTGTCTGTTACATACATTTTCACAAAACCTTATACCCATTACTTCGCATTTTCAATGGATTGAGGGTACTAAAAAAAAGAATAAGAACATTGCAGTAGGGCGTTACCAACTGCAGAATGCTATGCAGAGGATGATATCAGCAATTTAGTAGCTATGTAGGTTTTTAGTTTCTAGCTCTAATATTGTAGAAAATGTAGTTTTACGCCGATTTTCCACGCCCCTACTGGGCGTCCACATAATTTTTAGCCAATTCTTAGAACGAGCCATAAGTAGTATAACTGTCAATTTAAGACGCTTACACTCCAAACATGTGCTACGCCTCTAAATATCAATTTAATTACTTTTGAGTCATCGATAGAGATAACTATCCAAATTTGAAGCCTCTAGATCTTAAAATGTGAAAGATAAAAACTTTTGCTCTATATGCACACCATTTTTATACTCATTCACGAAAGTGAATCAGTATATTGGTTTTGTGCAATGTCCGTCTTGCTGTCCGTCCGTTCGTCTGTCCGTATGAACGCAATCTATTTCGGCGCTATTGAAGCTAGAGACTTGAAATTTGGAACACATACTCGTGTATATCTCCGATTGATAAAGTGTTAAAATTTTTCCCGATCCGCCCACTAGGGGCGTGGCAAATCGGAAAATGCATTTTCCGATATACCAGAAATCATGTTTGTTGAAGAGCTAGAAAGCTGAAATTTGGTATGTAGGTCCGCGTTGACCACCCAAGATCACGAGCTATGGCGAATATCTGCGCCCATTGGGGGCGTGGCAAATCGGATAAAACTGTATCTCCTAAAGTTGTAAACCTAGAATGCTGAAATTTTGCACGTCAGCTAATGGTATGATTCTATAAAGTCTAAAGATAAATTATAAGTCTACGCCCATTGAGGGCGTGGCAAATCGGACCTGAAGATATAGTGATTTTTTAAATTGTCCTATATTTTGGACACTATTGATGGCAGAGACCTCAATTTTTGTATATATACTCGGACTGATCACCCAACACCAAAAAGTTTTGTCGGATATATGTCCGCCCATAGGGGGCGTGGCAAACCGCAAAAGTTGATATCTCCTAAAGTATAATAGCTAGAAGCTTCAAATTTGGATAGTTGAGTTACTGGTAGCCTCCTCTATCGATTCCCCAAAAATAATTTGTACGCCTCTTTAGGGGCGTGGCATATCGAAAAATACCCTGTAATTTTCACATTTTTTGAGGGTAAGCATTCAAACTTTGCAGTTAGGGTACCGTTATCTCTTTCTAAAAACTGGCCAAAAATGAGGTGTCTACGCCCAGTTGGGGCGTGGCAAATCGGAAAAACCTGTATATTCTACAGTATTAGAGCGAAACTTAACTACTAAATTGTTGATGGGATGTGAATGAGTATTCCGCAGTCGGTAACGCCCGATTGCAACGTTCTTACTTGTTTTTTAATAACTTTTCTTGTAGATGGACAGTCTTCATGAACGATTTAGATCGTAATTATAACATTGAAATGCGTACATTTGCCAAAGCAAAAGTCTTTAGTATGTGAAATATCACTGCAAATAGATGGGTGTGGATCATTATAACATAAATCGAAATTCTATAAAGTATACATGAAACTACATTTAAAATTTAAAAATCTGCTTCAAAGATATAATTGTATTAATGATTTTCGATAATGTTTTAATCAATAACAAAATAACGGAATGAGTTATCGATTTTTTAAGATAAACTCGATATTCACGCTGTATATACGGACATTTAAAACAAATTTCAGGTCTCTAGCTTTTATATTGGGTAGTCTAAAAAGTCTTTTCGTATTTGTAATGAAACTTCAAATCATATTTTTAAATATTTATAATAAACTTTATTAAATCAAATATGCACCATTTTGGTCGACCACCTTTTGCCATTTTTCCACTAGAGACATATTTCCATTCGTGTAAAACTTTCGTGGTTTCTCTTTGAAAAACTGCTTCAAGTGATTTTCACAAGCTTCTCTTGAAGCAAACTTTACTCCGTTAAGGGAGTTCTGCATTGACCGAAATAAATGGTAGTCCGAAGGTGCAAGGTCAGGGCTATATGGTGGATGCATTAAAACTTCCCAGCCAAGCTCTCTCAGTGTTTGCCGGGTCATCAAAGATGTGTGTGGTCTGGCGTTGTCCTGATGGAATACGATGCCCTTTCTGTTGATTAGTTCTGGCCGTGTTTTTCGATTGCTTGCTTCAATCTCATCAGTTGTTCACAGTAAAGTGTCGAATCAATCGTTTGACCAGGCTGAAGCAGCTCATAGTGGATTATTCCTTTCCAATCCCACCAAACACACAGCATTACCTTTCGAGCCGTCAATCCTGGCTTTGCGACCATTTGTTGAGCTTCACCACTCTTGCACCATGATCTTTTTCGCACATTATTGTCGTATTTGATCCATTTTTCGTCTCCTGTTACCATTCTCTTCAGAAATGGTTCGATTTCATTTCGTTTCAGCAAAGAATCGCAAATGTTAATTCTGTCCAATACATTTTTCACAGACAATTCATGTGGTATCCATACATCGAGCTTCTTTTTGTAGCCAGCCTTTTCTAAATGGTTCAGAACCGTTTGATGATGAATGTTTAGTTCATTTGCGATGTCATGGCTGCTTATGTGACGGTCTTGGTCAATCCTTTCCATAATTTCATCGACTTTTTCAAAGATTGGTCGACCAGAGCGAGGTGCATCTTTCACATCGAAATTTCCAGAACGGAAGCGAGCGAACCATTGTTGTGCTACACGAACTGATAGAGCATCGTCACCGTAAATATACGACGCCAACGACATCTATTGGCAAAATACGAAAAAACTTTTTAGACTATCCAATATCTTCTGAGATCAACGCGTTCATACATACGGACAGACAGACGGACAGGGCTTAATCAACTGAGCTCGTCGCCGTGATCAAGAATATATATACTTTATGGGGTCTGCCACGCTGCCTTCTACCTGTTACATACAATTAAATTTTCCCATTTTCAATGGGAACACTTTTTGGGCTTATTTTCTTTAGCGCAATGTAATTGGAACTACAATTCAAATATATGTATATAGACCTGGTTAAAATGTATAAGTTTTAGTTTGTATTAAACTCATCTTTAAAGTTGTCCACTATATTGCCATGTTAGACTTTCTTTAGTTTTATATTTCTTTTCAAACCGAACAAATGACGAATCATAAAGTAAACGGAAATTAAATTACTGTAAATACATTAAAATTTAAATACAAATTTTGCTATCTAATTTACAATTAATAAAGTTAACATTGTCTTTATCAAATGGTTTTGAATTATTTTGATTTTTCTGACAATGTTTGCAGAGCGATTTAAAACTCTAGGTTTAATTGTGTATTTGTTGTTTGTTTTTTTGTCATCTACAAGAGTGAGAGCTGAAAACTGACAGCTGATAATTCTTTCCAATTTTTCCTGTACAGCTGTGTGATATTCGGCGTCACTAATAAATACCTAAGCTGAAAGTTATGTGCTTACATCTCTCATTTCATCTTTTCCTATTAGAGATGGGCTAAAGTCTGAATACTGAAAATAAGTGTTTATTAGTTTAATTAAGATTTGTAATGATATGCTTGAAGACAATATCATAATCGCATCTCGTGTATTATGTAGATTTCAAAGTAAATATCAGTGGAAGAGTGCAATTGCAATTATCTAAATTTCTAAAGATATAATAAATTTCTGTTCCTGTTAAATTGTTCTTGTGATTGTGCTTTTTTATGTTTTATGCGTGATACACGCTTTTAGCTCTAAGCTCCATTATAAAGCATTGACTTCTTAATGCTTTAAACCGGTTTATTTCGACAATAGAATTAAATAACTGTTTGTGTGTATCATGAGTTGGCAACAAACTTTGCCACTTTAGTCTATAAATATATAAATAAATAAATAAATAAATATATATATATATATATATAAAATATATATACAGTGTCGTGCACTTGAAGAAGTTTGACAATTTTTCCTTGTAATATAACTTATTTATTTAAAAACAAGTAAGAACGTTGCAGTCGGGCGTTACCGACTGCGGAATACTCATTCACATCCCATCAACAATTTAGTAGTTAAGTTTCGCTCTAATACTGTAGAATATACAGGTTTTTCCGATTTGCCACGCCCCAACTGGGCGTAGACACCTCATTTTTGGTCAGTTTTTAGAAAGAGATAACGGTACCCTAACTGCAAAGTTTGAATGCTTACCCTCAAAAAATGTGAAAATTACAGGGTATTTTTCGATATGCCACGCCCCTAAAGAGGCGTACAAATTATTTTTGGGGAATCGATAGAGGAGGCTACCAGTAACTCAACTATCCAAATTTGAAGCTTCTAGCTATTATACTTTAGGAGATATCAACTTTTGCGGTTTGCCACGCCCCCTATGGGCGGACATATATCCGACAAAACTTTTTGGTATTGGGTGATCAGTCCGAGTATATATACAAAAATTGAGGTCTCTGCCATCAATAGTGTCCAAAATATAGGACAATTTAAAAAATCACTATATCTTCAGGTCCGATTTGCCACGCCCTCAATGGGCGTAGACTTATAATTTATCTTTAGACTTTATAGAATCATACCATTAGCTGACGTGCAAAATTTCAGCATTCTAGGTTTACAACTTTAGGAGATACAGTTTTATCCGATTTGCCACGCCCCCAATGGGCGCAGATATTCGCCATAGCTCGTGATCTTGGGTGGTCAACGCGGACCTACATACCAAATTTCAGCTTTCTAGCTCTTCAACAAACATGATTTCTGGTATATCGGAAAATGCATTTTCCGATTTGCCACGCCCCTAGTGGGCGGATCGGGAAAATTTTAACACTTTATCAATCGGAGATATACACGAGTATGTGTTCCAAATTTCAAGTCTCTAGCTTCAATAGCGCCGAAATAGATTGCGTTCATACGGACAGACGAACGGACGGACAGCAAGACGGACATTGCACAAAACCAATATACTGATTCACTTTCGTGAATGAGTATAATTAAGTACCCGTAGTAATCCAATACTGTTGTTTTGTGTTAATTTTTATATTTTATTTTCTAATTATTAACAAGTTAACTAAACTAAAAGTATTTTTGAAAAATTTTATGGACTGCCCATACTGCCCACTCTGTAAGCAAAAATAGCGCGGGAAAACAAGTAAGAAAGCTCTAGTCGACACTGCTCGACTACGAAATCCCCTAAACCCTTCGAGCAGCTGATATTTCAATAATTATTCACACATGCACACACACACGCGCACACACAGCCATACGCACGCACGCACGCATAAACACGCATTAGCTGCAGTGGTGGCTTACTAAGGGAAGTTAATTGTTTAATAACTTTTCTTGTGGATGGAATATCTTCATGAAACTTTCAGATTATGAATATAACATAGATATGCATGTATTTGCCAAAGCACACCCTAGTATTTGAAATACGCTTAGGGGTGGGGGGTAAATTTTGACAAAAACCGAAATTGTATAAAATTCATATAAGTATACATATAAAATTTAGAGACTCTTTAAAGATGAAGGAGATATAATTATTAAACTTATTTTCGATAATGTTTTTAATCGATAGCAAAATAACTGTGAAAGTTATCGATATTTAAGCAAAACTCGATATGCAAACTCGGTATACACGGACCTACGAAAAAATTCAAGTCTCTAGCTCTTATATCTTCTGAGTTTCGGCGTTCAAAACTTATAAACATATAGTCAAGCAACAATATGGAAAACATTATTTTTTCTTAATTTGTCTAATTTATTGATTTTATTAGAAGATATATGCCAAAAAGTAGCAGGAATCTAGAAAGATTCAAAACAACTCGTTCACAGTGGATTGAGAGCGAAATATTGAGAAACTGAAAACAGCCGAGCTCCTCGCAAAATAAAATTCGCCCTAAGGAAGCTAATTATGAAGAAGCTGGTAATCGGAGAAAAGTTGTCTTCTATCTCCTCTGAGCATTATATAAATAGCGACAAATTTAGAGAGTTCTGCTCACATACATTGAAATGTACTTGAATAACTATGTTTGGCATCCCATGTCCCTAACTGTGCACATAGTTTTCATTCATGGGTACCAGTAAATGGCGAAACCCAAAATTTTGAAGTTGAAGCCGAAGATAAAGATGATCCAGACAAATTGACTATCGAATTGGATGAAATTATCTTCATGAAACTTTCCGAACGTTATCATAATATGTGTTTACATTCTAATTTATTACTTAAACTACGTATTTTTCAATTACAAAATCTTTGTATTCAATTTAACAATTTATCGATTATTCTCGATAAAGAGAGATTGGATGAGTTCAGCTCTCTAGCTCTTATATCTTCTGAGATCTCGGCGTTCATACAGACGGCCAGATGGACAGGGCTATATCGACTGAGCTCGTCGCCCTGATTTCCCATTGAAAATGGGCTCAGAGTAAAAAAATTAGTTTTCCTTTTCTTTTTAAAAATTTGCAGGGTATAAACTGGATTATCATACACTTTTGTATAACTAACGACTTACTTTAATTATTTTTATCTTAAAACTTGTATATGTGCTGTAAACTTTATGTTAAATATTAGTAAAACTTATGTCTAAATCAATCATGATTGGCGGGCGAAGGCGTGGTTCAATCGTTAAAATAAATTCTCCGAAATTCTGATTTATCTTGTCTCAAGTGCACACAACTTCAGTCTCCTAGCTTTACTTTTAGAGTTTATGTCAAAATTTCTGAGTGTTTTCTATAGTTTAATGTCAGCTATTCTATAAACCAAGAACCATTTGGGGCAATGCCTAATAAATATTAATTAAGCAGCAAAACCTCCATACATATTTAACGACAAGCATACATACTTACCTTATGAAAATTGAAAAGCAACGTGCCAATTTGTGAAAGTCCATGAAAATTTTGATCGTTTCAAATCTCTGATAATTCAGCGAGGGTCTTTGCTTAGGTCCTGCTGCCACACCCACTATTTGGTATAGTCGCTGCTTTTACTCCCGCTGTTATGGTGTGTATGTGTGTGACATTAGCATTCGGTGATTCGGCTAGATTAAAGATTTATAAAATACTTCAACTTTATATCACTTCTTATTATTATTGTTTTTATTACTTTAGCATTGCTTTTCACTTTGTTTAGCTATTTCTCGCACAGTTCACAGACTACACACTCATTTGCTTGTTCCACACATACATACGACGATAATAATACACATACAAATCTCTCGCACAGCTACTTTTCAGTTGTAGCACCTCTCTGTTTGTTGTTGTTTCCTCCAACATTAAATTATGCATATACATATATATACACATACACATGTTAATGCGTGTTTTTGAAAACCAGTATTTGTTGCCTTCTTTCACTTATTTCTTGAAATTGTTGAATAACGGTTTTGAATTGGTATTGCGTGTTTTTGTTGTTGCTTTATTCAATTTCACTTTGCTTTCTAGTGATGCGATGCTTGCCTTTGTTGTTATTGTTGCACACATTGTTGTTTCACAGTCGCACTCATTGAGCAAACAACATGGTGAATTCATATGTACATATTAGTAGCTTAGTGTCGTCAAGTGAAATGTTTGCCCGGATAAACCTGTCCTACAGCGTCAGGATCGACGTCGCAGAACTTCATATCCGCTCGCCTTCTCAATTATATTTATTTATTTATTTCACTTATGTGTCACTATGCTATTAAGAATAATATAAAACTGGGTAAGAGATTTATTCAATTATTTTCTAAATTTATATTTCGCATGCACTTATCAGGCAACCAGCGAGCCAGCAACAGAAACACATCTTCATCGGCTGAAGGCATTTTTATATTATAATTAACGACGCAAATATTCAAAAAGTTCGTCTCATTGTTCATAACCAGTGCTCATTTTCACTCATGCACCTACACGCAATGCGACAGTGGACACAAACATCTGCAGACATTGGTAATGGGTTCATCCCGTTATAAACTGAAGTCGAAGTCGGCGACACAGTGCAGCGGACAACGATGTTTTGTCGACAAAAAACCTTATTTCTATACTTAAAGCCAGCCCGCAGACATCTTGCAAACAGAACAAAGACAATTTTACAATTTGTCTTGTCGATATGAACGCAACCCAAAATACCCACATGTGTATGTTTTTAACATATATATGTTTATATTTAAACATTATTTATATATATATATATATATATATTTATATATATATATATATTTATATATATATATATATATATATATAAATGTAAACATACATATATGTATAAACATTTTTTATTTTCGCATATACGCACATTGCGTTTGAATGTCAAAAATCAAATTTTTTTAAGACATGATTTCAATCATTTACACGCACACCGGCACATACACTCATACGCACACAAACACAAATAGGCTGACACAATTACAAAATTGTCGGTCGCTGAGTTTTCTACTTTTTTGATACTTCTTTTTTGTATTTTACACGCACACACGCTCGCAGTTTTATTATAATACACTTCTACACACACACACACGCGTTGTTGTTGTTGTTGCTGTGCTGTTGCTTGCTTTGCTGTTTTTGTTGTTGTTGGCCTACTTTGTGTGTGGGGAATTTTGTTGCAGTGTTGTTGTTGCTCAGCTTCTCCTTTTGCAGCACAAAAACTGCTTTTGCTGCTACGTCGTTGTTGAAAATTTTCACACGCGCCGTTTTTATGAGTATTTTTACGTAAAAAGAAACTTTATAAAAGTGCCATTGAATTTTTATTGCAGCTACACTGCAATTTTATGCTTATAATTTATGCTAATTTGTTGCACTATATTTATTATGTGTAGGTACATAAATAATCGCTTATGCTGTATATACTATGTATATATTTGAGATTTTTATAAAAAGAAATCACTACTTCAAAAATCGAGAGAGACGAAGGCTAACGAACGTACGAAGAATGAATGACTGAGAAAGTGACTATAAATATGGAGGGCTGCCAATCTTCTCATTAAATGTAAGCTGCCAACCTACGCAATAACAATTCAGCAAAGAAAATAATCGTCAAAGTATCGATAGTATAGTGTATCGGTACCCACCACAAAAATTAACATGAATTCAAATAACATTTTTGTTACGCGCCGTATCATTTTTAAAAACGCTGTTCTGAATTTTTATAAAATAGGTTCGTTCCATTTCAGCATATAGACTTTTAAATGATATTAATAATGATACTCCAGGACAATGATATCAGGGAGTAGTTTTGAATTTGTGCGCGCTTTAAAACTTACATACTTAAGATTTTAATGGTAAAGTCATACGGCCACACAGAACACTGTAAATGACAAACCGCCTATAAAAGCAATGAGCACTAAGTTCTACGTGTTTTAGTTAACAAAATTAGCCGCACATCAGAATCAACGCGAGAAACTTTTAAGTGATTAAAGTATACTCAAAATTTTTGGTTATTAACAGTAAATAAATAGGGAAATCAAAATGGCTACACGCGATGCTGCTTCAAATCAATTGATTGATTATAAGAACTGCCAAAAGGTAACTTAGTAAATATAAAGCGTCTCTGAAAATGAACACTACAGAAAAAATATACATTTAAGTTCGCAGTAGATTGTACTCGCAGAGCCAAAGTTCGAATATATGCTTTGTTGTTTTGTTCGTGCCCAATGCGCGGCTCTCATCTCCCTTTGTCGTAGCTCTCGTCTCTGTTTCTTGCTCACTCTTTCACTCCTCTCTTTCTAAAGCAGCGACACATTGCATTTACAAATGGGTGGGTATGGGTTTACAGTTTAATTAAACTTATTTTTGCGTTAACCTCATGCAATATTGCATACACCTTTAATTGTATCTTTTATTTCATATTTGTTTTGTCATGTAAATTGTTTCTTATTGTAAGCAGTGTAAATAGCTCTCTGCATCTTCAGAGTAAAAGACATTAAGTTTATATAAACAACAACCTTCATTATTTATAAATCTTTAATTAATCTTATCGCTTATTCGTTGATAATGCTTATCTGCAGCTATATATGTATATATAAAGAAATATATGTATTCTACATCTGGGTGTCTATAGTTGTATAGTTGCATAGCTCCAGTTGTACCCAATCCAAAAGCCGGGAATATAATATAAATATATATATGTACATAAATAAGAGAATAAAAAGTAAGAGAATAAATTTTATAATCGATAGATCGTGAAAGATATTTGAATATAATTTGTAGGAGCTACTTTTTCATTAAACAGCTCCTCAATTACCTTAGCGTTCTATTTCCAATATGCAATTTATATTTGAGACGACAATGCAGATATAAATATACATATACATTGTATATACATATCTCTTCAAAGCAACAATTCCATCATTTAATTTAATTGAAACAGCGATATTTTCAGTTTTATGCTTGAATGCGCGTGACCTCACATGGGAATACATACTTTGAATGCATTTCTAAACTACCTTTTTAGCCGGGGCCTTCGAGGAGCTGCAACCAGCAAGGTTTTCACTTCGATATTGCATAAAACTGGTTGCTATCATTTGAGAGAGGCAGGCAGAGAAAGAGAGACAGAGAATAGTGACCATTTACAAAGGCGTTGAACCCGATTAAACTAGTTCGATACAAATTAGAGGAGTTGGAGGTTTGCCTTATAGCGATTGCAAATAATCAAATAAACAACAAAATTAAAGCACTTAGCTGCAGCATTTGGTTATGCAATCCATTTGGCACTCGGCTTCGAACACATACATATGTGAGAATATGTTTCGAAATTTTGCTTTGAAAGCTTTTGACCCTCAAAAGTGTTCGTGTTGTTGTTGCTGCTTTTGACTGACTTTTCATGGAGACTAGCGAGAAACTGCATTTTGTCAGGCATTATTTAAATACGTATATTTTTACGATGACTGAAACAAACACTTTTGACTTCTTTGTTTGCAGAAATGCCCGAAATATATATGTACATAAATATATATATTGTAATACTTTTGAGTAGCTTTAATCATCTTTGATACATGCAAACATATTTTCTGTACATTTCAATTAAGACTTCTTGGTTTGCTCTGTACAATGAAGCGAGTCATCAACGCAATCTGTAAATGTTTTATTAACTTGTTTTTCGTTCTTCTTTTTTTAAAATTCAATTATAAATTCCAGTTTTTTGCATTTTTGTACTATCGATCGATGGTCTTATCATCAATTTGCTCTTTAGACACGCACACACAACGAACCTCCTATTGTTTGCTACTTATTATCTTTCAAATAGCGCCCTCCCAAGTGGCCCCACATTAATTTATTTCTGACTCAAAGTGCAAACGCTCGCGAATAAGAAGAAAAAACCAAGTAAACAAGTGCGAAGACTCTAGTCGAGACTGCTCGACTAGGAGATACCCTGAACCCTCTAATCTGATATTCTAATCACTCTGCACTTCTTTTCGGCACACATATGTACATACACACGAATGTATTCGAACGCGATCTGCTAACTGCGCAGTAAGCAGCGACTGCGCTTGGGCTGCGCTGCAGTGTGGGCAACATTATAACAATTTAATTGTTGAATAATTTAATTTCTGGACATACAATCTTAATGAAACTTTCAGAACATAATCATAATGTTCAAAGTTATGTACAAGTACAAGTCTCTAGTAGTTGAAATACGCCTTTTACAAAGGTGAGGGTGAGGGGGTGGATAAAAGGGTGAGGGGTAAATTACAAAAAAAATCGAAATTATATAAAATACATATAAGTCTACATTTAAAATTTGGAAGCTCTAGCTCTAAAGGTGTAGGAGATATAATTAAATAACTAGCTTTCGATAAGGTTTTAATCGATAATAAAATATCAGGAGTAGTTATCGATATTTAGAGAAAAACTCGATATGCGCGTGATATACACGGACCTATAAAAAATTTCAAGTCTCTAGCTCTTATATCTTCTGAGATCGACGCGTTCATACATACGGACAAACGGACAGACGGTCAGGGGTAAATTGACTCAGCTCATCGCCCTGATCAAGATACAAGATATACTTTATGGGGTCTGCCACGCCTCCTTCTGCCTGTTACATACAATTAACAAAACCATTATACCCTGATTTCCCATTCTCAATGGGTTCAGGGTATAAAAATAGAAAACCTTTTTAGCGCTATGGCATTATAATATATGCCAGTTATTGAAAAGCTGGTCCATTATCTTTTTAGTTTCAGCAATTGACTGTGAACTGGCGAAAAATGTTTTCTATATACCGCGAATGTCTTTATATTTATGTCGATATTTTCTTTTGTCCTCTTATAGCTTGTTTATGTCAATTCAATTTTGAATTATTGGTAAAACTTTCATGTTTCTTTGAGAACGATTAGAATTGATAAAACACTTAATTTATTAATTTATACGAGAATACTTTGAGGGCTCAAGATTCAAAGTCTGTAGATAAGTTATTCATATATAGCAACAATTTAAATAGTATTCTTTAGCTAACTAGTTAGTTTCACTCGCTATAGAGTATTTATGTATATATTAAAAAATAAATAATTGAGCAACAACTCACTTATTTCACTTAATTTGATCTGAATTTCATCAGTTAAGTAATTTTCATTATTAGTCAGCGCTGAATCTTTAAGACACCATTAGTAAACATATGATGTGCGCGCCTCTACGTGTGGAATTACTGGTAAACTATTCTGGGGAACGGCAACTGCTGCACCCTAATTCAGAACAAAGAATCATACCTATTTGCGATGGAAGAGTGTTTAAGTACATTATATTCATTTGCTAATATATTCCTGGGTAAAGTACGCTTTTCTATATGCGATGCATTGCTAGCTCAGAGGTCCATTAAATGCCATGCACACTCTAAGCCAATATCGTAAAGATAAAATTGAAAAAATTAGGTAATCGAGATAAAATTAAGAACCAAAACAAGTCGAGAAAGACGTTGTATTATATGTTCATCTAAAATAAAAATCTAGAATTAATATTTCTTTTTGTTGGTAGGAATCCGCAGGCGTAGTTACTACTGGCAGTGGCGCACCCATTGGCATTAAGGATGCAACGCAAACGGTTGGTCCTCGCGGTCCGATTCTGTTACAAGATGTCAATTTCCTAGACGAAATGGCGCACTTTGATCGCGAACGCATTCCAGAGCGAGTGGTTCATGCCAAGGGCGGCGGTGCATTTGGTTACTTTGAAGTTACTCACGACATCACTAAGTATTGCGCTGCCAAAATGTTTGAGAAGGTCAAGAAGCGTACCCCTGTAGCCGTTCGATTCTCAACGGTGGGCGGCGAAAGTGGCTCTGCAGATACGGTACGGGATCCTCGTGGATTTGCTGTTAAATTTTATACGGATGATGGTATATGGGATCTAGTGGGCAACAACACGCCCATTTTCTTTATACGCGATCCTATACTATTTCCCAGTTTCATACATACCCAGAAGCGGAACCCGCAGACGCACTTGAAGGATGCCGATATGTTTTGGGACTTCTTGACCCTGCGCCCTGAATCCACCCACCAGGTTTCGTTCCTGTTTAGTGACCGCGGAACACCTGACGGATTTTGCCATATGAATGGCTATGGATCCCACACCTTTAAGTTGGTCAATGCCAAGGGTGAGCCTGTTTACGCAAAGTTCCACTTCAAGACAGATCAGGGCATTAAGAACTTGGATGTGAAAACCGCATCGGATCTAGCATCGAGTGACCCCGACTATAGCATACGTGATTTGTACAATCGCATCAAGACCTGTAAATTTCCCAGCTGGACATTTTATATTCAGGTGATGACCTTCGAAGAGGCCAAGAAGTTCAAGTATAATCCGTTTGATGTGACCAAGGTTTGGTCCCACAAGGAGTACCCATTGATACCAGTGGGAAAAATGGTGCTAGATCGCAATCCGAAGAACTACTTTGCCGAGGTAGAGCAAATTGCGTTTAGCCCCGCACATTTGGTGCCTGGGATTGAGCCATCGCCGGACAAGATGTTGCAGGGCCGTCTATTCTCTTACTCCGATACACATCGTCATCGCTTGGGACCTAACTATTTGCAAATACCAGTCAATTGTCCATATCGCGTTAAGGTCAATAATTATCAACGCGATGGCCTCATGAATGCTACCGAAAATCAGGATGGAGCTCCCAACTATTTCCCAAATTCGTTCAATGGGCCGCAAGAATGCGCAAGAGCTCGTGCCTTGTCTACTTGTTGCCCGGTGACCGGCGACGTTTATCGCTACAGCAGCGGTGACACGGAGGACAATTATGGTCAGGTCACCGATTTTTGGGTGCATGTCCTCGACAACTGTGCTAAGAAACGTCTAGTGCAGAACATAGCCGACAATTTGAGCAACGCTAGTCAGTTCCTGCAAGAGCGTGCGGTTAAGAACTTTACGCTGGTGCATGCCGATTTCGGGCGCATGCTTACCGAGGCCCTCAATCTAATTAAGTCCTCGAAGTTCTAGATGTTTCACTTAATTTGCGCATAGGTCAGCGTTTTGCTTTTTAAATCTAGCTTTCTGCTGATCCAACTATCAGTTCTTTGGTTGCGGATAATTTTTTTGGCTCTCAATAATATTTACCCCTCCCCACTCGTGTGCCTTGTTTTAATATGGTAAAAATTATCAATAAACAAAAATTTATATTTGTAACGATTCGTAATAAAACTAATATTTTGTTGTAAGACAATAGTCTTATGTTTAATGTTCTCTATTAGATACAGGACAAGAAGCAAATAAATAACCAGGGATCAAAACAATGCCCACCTTATCGGTTGCCTTAAAGGAAGTTACTCTCTACTCTATATACTAAATAAAATCAAGCTTTCAAGGACAAAGGAGAACACCTGGCTACTTGGCCGAAAGTCGAAGCTCAGTGTGAATATTAAACGCTTACTGTATAAAAACATCTTGAAGCCCGTCTGGATATAAGGCATTCATTTATGGGGAACTGCCTCCCACAATAGGCTAGATAATCAAGTAGCAATAAAATTACCTGAAAACAGCACTCACACCGGACGTCTCTATTATTTGAAACACAAACTTACGGGTGAGGGGGTGTATAAAAGGGCGTGGAGTAAATGTTAACAAAAATCAAAATTCTATAAAATAGGTTCATACCTATTTTAGACTCATGTCTACATTTAAAATTCGGAGACTCTAGCTCAAAAGATGTAGAAGATATAATTTAATAACTGATTTTCGAGGTTTTTAATCGATAATAAAATATTGGGAGTAGTTATCGATTTTTTTGATATGGTCAAAATCAAGAATATATACACTTTGTGGGGTCTGTCCCGACTTCTTCCTGTTACATACTTTTAAGAAACCTATTATTCTCTGATTTCCCATTGTAAATGGGTTCATTATACCGGATTTCCCATTGAAAATGGGTTCAGCGTATAATAATGAAGAATCTTTATGGTTATCAAAGTAGTAGTCCAGTTACTTTTAAACGAAATACACATTTTGTTTAATTCAATTTATCAACAAAATTTTAAATTATTTGCCAATTCTTCCCCTTAGTATTGCAAACACCCGTAATGATTAATAAAAACCAAACTTGAGCAATGAGTTTTTTTTTTTTTTTTCATTTTAATCTTTTATTTGATTTTAAAATTATATACAAATTGTATCATTTGAATTTTAACATATGAAGTTTAAAAACATAGTCTATTCTGTATGCATTCAATATATTGATTAAAATAGTATTATTTCAAGTGTTCCTACATAATTTCATGAAAATTACATTTGCAAAACCACGATACGTCAGTCTAGTTCCTAAAATATAGTATAAAAATATATTCAATGCCTGTCGTTTCGTACAAAAAATATATATGTATATGAATATATAACATTGTATTTTCGCTAAATGCAATTATAAACTAACACATGTAATTTTTCATAAATTGGTTTACCTTTCAAAGCTCTTAGTAAATGCGCTTGGTTGCTGAAAGGACGTATTATATCCTAATTACTGTTAACTTTCGCACGATCTTTATAAATATATAAAAATGTTCAGTTATCCGGAAGTTTTAGTCGAATAGTGTCACACAAAAATAGTTATAATTAATGAGTTCGAAGTTTCATTTTTGGGCTTTGAAAATTCGTTCCAAAGTATAATTGTTTTCATAAGCTTTCTTTTCAGTTGTTTTTATTTTTTTTTTTTAACTTTTTACTTAATTGTGTTGTAGATCGTACAAATATTTAATAAAAGGCACTTGTGTGTTATTTTATACAGCAAAGTTATTCGTGGGGTAGTGACCACTTTTAGACAAGACAACCAAATAGTTAGTTACCTCCAATTAGAGAGTTTGATTTAAGGCAATATCAGTTAACAATCGTGTGCCATTGACGGCTAATTGAGCTAATGGCTGTGAGCTATTGGCAATCAGGTCTCCCACCAAATTTGAACTACCAGTGGTCAGATCTGTTAGGAGTTCAGTATTGTTTGTCAATAGGCGCGTCGCATTTGCTGCCAGCTCCAACATGTGCGCCTTATTGACAGCTAACTCGGCTAGCAAGCGACTCTTGTTGGCTGCTTCCTCGGCGGCAATTTGTGCCCATTCCGGGAATGTGTCCAAGTTCGGGTAGATGACCATAGCCCAGGTTTGACAGAAAATGAATAGCACAATTATGGTGATAATCGTAGGTCCAATACCTGCTATCGCCATATCCTTGCTGCGAATATGCGCATAGCCAGCAACCAAAGCATTTGGTGGCGTGCTCACCGGCAAATGGAAGGCCATGCTGCAAGCGAGGCCTGCTGGAAGCACCAGGTACAGAGGATGTATCTTCAGTGCCAGTGACTGTGATATAGAAAAATATGAATAGCTGGTTTAACAGTTTTAATAGACTTTTGGACGCACCATTTCGTTGAGCACAGGTACGAGAATATTGGCAACGGCCACATTTGAGCTGAAGGCTGTCAGAAATACAGCCACCAGAATGACGACCAGTAGCAATGCTGCGTTAGGGAGCACCTTTAGGCCACTCATCGAATTACCAATCAATGTTGCCATGCCGCTTTGCTTGCTGCCAGCTGCCAGGGCGAAGCCACCACCTAGCAGAAAGATCAGGCCCCATGGCACTCTAGACTGAATAAACTTCCAGGTGATCAGTGAGGGTGTCGGCGACGTCGGCACAGGCCCGCGACGTGTGCAGTATCGTAGGAATGCATAGTTCGCCGGTAGCATGAAGCACATGATCACCACAAAAATGGTTGGCATCGAGTTTTTGATAACCCTAACAGTAATTAGAAATATAGATTATGTAATACAAAGAAAGTTAATTATTAATGTAATATTAAATATCAATGTATAAGTTGTCTTTAATATATATAAATAATAATTAATTTTGTTGAAAATTAAATATTTATAATGGATTTTCTGTAAAAACTTAAGCTTTAAGTAATTAAGTCGAAATAATAAAAAACTCATTCTTACTCTTATAATAACTATGTATGAGGGCATAATCTTCAATTTGTAATATCAGCAAGTAAAACACCAATAGACAATAATTAATCCATTTATACCTAAAGAAAACAAGTAAGAGACTGCTCGACTAGGAGATACCCTGAACCCTCCAAGCTGGCATTCTAATCATTCTGTACTTATTTTATGCATCCATATGTATATACATATATATGCATCCACACGCACGCATAAGCACGCGCTCTGCTAACTGCGCAGTAAGCAGCGACTGCGCTTGGGCTGTGCTGCAGTTTGGCAATATTATGAGAATTTACTTGTAGTGGCACTATCTGCATGAAACTTTCAGAATGTGATCAAAAGGTTAAACTGTGTGTATATTCCAAATTTCAACGGATTCAGGGTATAAAGTATATATATTCTTGATCAGGGCGACGAGCTGAGTCTATTTAGCCAATGCGTGTTTAAGCGTGCTTGCGTATACCTGTTTATGTGCGTGTGTGTGTTCATGTGCGAATAATTATTGAAATATCAGTTGCTCGAAGGGTTCAGTCGGGCAGTTTTGACTAGAGCTTGTTTACTTATTTTTATTCTAATTAGTTAATAGGACAGTATAAATTGTGAAGATTTGAAAAGAGTTACTCTGTTATGTTTGGCACTCAATTGACATACTCACTTGTCGGGCAGCAAGTCAGCCCATCCGGTAAAGATACCCGGCTTTCGTGTGAAGTACATGAAGACCATGATAATGAATAGAATCATCACTTGGATTTCATGTATACTCATGGGACCCAGCTCTTTGTAGCGTTGATCAATGACTTTCTTTGCCACATGTGCGTTATCCTTACCTACCTGTACCTCTTGTGCCTCCTTGCTCTTAGGCCGCCACAGACCCATAAAATGCCATTGTAGGAAAACATACGTAAGCACTGTATAAACCAACATTGATGGCACCGAATAGAACATAAACGTGGGGAAATCTAGTTTCTCGGTAGAATTGGGGAATGCAGTGTCATAGATTCCCTTGAATGTTAGATTTGTTGCAGTGCCAATTATGGTGCCGCACCCACCCAAAGACGATGCATATGCAATACCTAGGTAGTAGCATTGGGTAACCTTTGTTGGATAGGGTAATCTGTAAAATTAGGCAGTATATAAAATTGAATAGATTTATGCTATTACTATACATACTCGTCCTCATTCTTCTTTTTGTTATTTCCACCAACCATTTGATACTCTGGTTCATGATAAATTTTGCAGACTCCTTGCTGTTGGACAAATTGGATAATAAATAAAATAGTTTTCATTTTTTTCCTCCTCCATTTTTTTCAAACTGACCGCTTGGAGCTCCTCAAGCACCGCCTGCACGATCGGACTCATCATAGCCGTACAGGCTGCATTGGAAATCCACATGGATATGAACATTGTCACCATAATCAAGCCGAAATGTAGTCTATAAAATAAGTTAAAGGAAATTAGTCCAATTTTTAAAACCATGAATTAGAGAGATGCAAACCTTCTGGGACTGCAGCCCACCATTTGAATAACTCTCAGTGCTAGACGCTTGTGCAGACCACTGTATTCCACTGCCAGGGCAACCATAATGCCGCCCATGAACATCACTAATGTATCCTTAAAGTAGGTCATACATGTCTCTTCCGATCCCTGTAAAATATCAAATCTATTATTAATACTACTTAAATGTTGACTAATAAGAGCCGGTATTTTTTTACCATTATTCCCATTGTAGGAAATGCAACAATTGGTATCATTGATGTAACATATAAGGGCAATGCCTCTGTGACCCAAAACACAGCCATTATCAAAAGGATGTACATACATCTGTACTCCTGAAACGGTAAATAAACATATTAAAAGTCACACAAGGCACAGTCATTTGGGAATTTCTTACCGGAATATTGTTCATTAATATAATAGGGAGGCAAACCAGAGGCATTAGGAATACAACACATCCCTTCCAGTGGTTAGCAAAAAAAGATCCCCACCGTGCATGCGGTTCTACAGGCTCGGCCGCTTCTCTGTAAAATAATTTTTAACACTTTCAATACTGTTTTTGTACTTTTATTAGCTAATTTTTCTACTTACAGTTCCATTTTAAATTCTGGATTTAGCTGCAAATAAAATAAATATAAATAAAAGTGAAAAATAGACATTTCGTACGTTAATAAAAAAAATAGATCAATTTCAGTTCTTTTCATATGCATTTTCATTTTATTTTTATTTAATTTTTTTTTTATAATGTTCAATTATCATTGTTTATTCTTCGTTACTCATATGAAGAGAAATAGACTCGACCAACAGAATATTGAATGATTCGCCGCTTAATTTGCTTTTTATATGATATAAAAGCAAGATAGGATTTCGCATTCAGGCTATACCGACTCCATTATACTCGTTTGAAAAACAAAAAAAAACGTTTGTTTGAATCTAAACTTACTAAATAAGTAAATTTCAATACTTCTAGTTTTCAGCCTCGAAAGCCGCGTTAATACAGACAATAATTATTTTATTAATAAATTTTGATTATCATCTTGGTCTATTGATATTTTATTATTATAGTAGTTAATATGCTGCAGTATATTGACTATTATACGTTCTGAACAGCTGTGAATCAAATATAAATGCGTATTACCATGGAAATATATTTAGCTATCGAAAGACAGTAGAGTTATGGCCTTTACCCATCTATATAATAATATATCATCTTTTTTTTTACCATATGCATTATCCATATTGAATATTCATTTGAATAAATTATAAAATCCGTTTTTATATTTTTCATTTAGGAAACTATCGATTTTATAAAAAACTTACGAGCTTTAAGACACTGAACGAGTATTATTAAGTGGTTTCTCCCGACATCAACGTTCTTAGTTGTATTGATATTGATACGTTTCGATCGGTAATCGAACATAATTATGCCAATTCGCATTTGTTTGGCCTCTATTTTACGTACGTTATTGTTCATTGAACTATGTCGTATATACATACATCCAAGTTATATACCGATAAAGAGCTGGGAACATTTAGAAGTTGAAAAAACTGAACTTAAATTTCTTTTAAATACAAAAATTTTCATAATGAATATTGACTATTATAGTTTAGAGTCTCTTCTGTATTCGCATGTGGATAAAAAAAAGCGTTAAATGGTTATTATATACGATTTTTTCAGAGTTCAGGGAATTTCCTAGTTAAGCAATCTCGATATTGCATTTGAAGTAACTCAAACTATTGACGAAAAAATGTACTATTGCCATGTAATTCTATTGTCCTGTTTAAATTCGAGCACGAATGTGATGACTGTGGCGGAATATTGAGATCGATTTATATATTGAAATTTATCAATTTAACGATAAAGCGTTCAAGGCTCGTGTTGATAGCCCTTTTTTTACTGGGCTATCAACACGAGTATACTTTTCTAATTTAAACTCTATAGCAGTTTAAATAAAAGAGTTTCTGAGACATACCAGATATCAATTATCTTGACACTTCATCAGGCTGCACATGACTGTATATTAAAAGTCTCAAAACTTTAGCTTATAAATATATACTTATAGATTTCATATATATATATATATATATATATATATATATCAGAATGCGAGTAGGCAAAGCTGACAAAGACAGCCATATGTATAACCATATATATAGATTTGAATCACATATGTTAACAGGCCAATAAAAAAACTATCAATTGTCGACGATACGAGCTACTATTTAATTGTGTATCAATTAAAATGAAACAAATTTTTTCATTGTTTATAGTTACTACATATTTACAATCTTTATAAATTCATGGTGATATCATTCATCTCTATAATTAATAGATTGCTAGTAAATGCGAAGTGTCCAGTCCGATTGTTAAACGAATTAATTACTTCTCTTCAGAGTTCAAGATGTAATCATATTTATATAATTAATTATTTGTATATAATTTAAGAACGTGTAAACAATAAACAAGAAGTATTTTCTTTATCAGTATATATATAAATATATATATTTAAAATATTGCTAGCAATAATAAGGTTTATTTCTAGCTCATTTTTTGAGTTTTTCCTCTCACAAGATTTAATTCGTTGTTGGCATCGTCAATTACATTCTAATAATGTGCTTCACAGACAGGTAATGCTACTGCAGCTCAATTTATTGATTATAATCACACGGATTTCAGTTGTCAGCTATAATACTAGAGAGTGTTCCTCCCTTTTCTATTAAATAAGGTGGGAGTGATGTAAAAACTTCGAGATATAATACTGCTATTAGAGCATTCTTATACTCTTTCAATGAGTTGTCCATTCGACTATTTGTTTAGGAATGTGACTAAATATACGAAGGTTTATATATTATATATATTGGTATGTTATATTGGCCGTATTTTGAATTAAGCACATAAATGAAATATTAAATTCCATATAACGTCTTAATTCAAAATGTTGTCGTTTTTAAATATACGTATTTATAAATATATCATTACATTTCACTTTTAAACAAATATGAAAAGTCTATTTAGGTGCCCGACTGGGAATTATCTAGGAATTGTAATATGTGATGTTATATATATATATATATATATATATATATTAAATCTGAAAAAGTGTAGACAAATAAGAATTTTTGTATTTAATCGGCATCATTCGAACTAACAGCTGCAATAGCAAAGAGTATATTCGTCTACTCAATATCGACAAACCCACAATTCAAAGCCAACGTGCATTATCTCTACCAACACCGTCATTGCACTCGTCGAGTACATCCGAAGCTACTACACTGCAAATCCAAATTAAACTGCGGCTGATAATGCAAACCTAATTGAATCGCAATTGTGGTTCTTAGTATCTGCTAGAATGAGCGTATTTAAATGTAATGAAATGACTTAGTTTGGCGTTCTGGACTGTTGTTTACGTACATCTTATCAAAATCATTATACCCAGAATTCACGTTCTAGATGGACTCAGGGTATACAAAATAAATGTGTCGCCACTTGCTGAAAGCATTTGTAGTCTAGATAAAATATTGTGTGCTACTCAAGAAATTGAAAATAAGATGTGGGGAGATATAGTAAAGAAAAGTTGCCTGTGCATTCATTGTCTGAGTTCGATAAGTGAAGTGTTTACAAGTTAATTGATATAATGGGTCATGAAATACATTCGGTTGATAGTGTTAGTGAACAAGGTAGACAGACCCAGCAAAACCTCCATATAAGTACAGACTATATCAGCATTCTGGTAAGATTGCATATAATATTAATTTAAGGTTGTAAACAAGGGGCCAAAATCACAAAATAGTAAATAAATATATTGTTTTAGATAACCATCTAGATATTTTATATATTTTTAATAATAATAACTTATTTAAAGCACTACAGTGATATAAAACAAATTAAGTACATTACTTGTACTTGTACTTGAACTTGAGAGCATAACTTAACATATGGAAGGACTAAACCATCCAGTTTGTAACAGGTGACTTTCAGTGTTAACTTCCTCTGCACCTTATGCCATTTTAGTTGTATGCAGATATTTTCCAAACCAAATTTTTGCAAGTATTAGAAACGTACTCATAAGTTGCTTTGGGTCATCCAATCAACTATGATTATACCCTGTACCCATTTTCAATTGGAAATCAGGGCATTATGGTTTTCATAAATTTTATTAATATGTGAACGTGATTAATAAATATACGTGTTTTATTAGAAGGTAAGCGAAATAATGAGCAATCGAATACTATAGTACGTCACTGTTTATCACCCAACAGGCTTTCAACTTGATTTATTTATGTTCGATTAACAGACATGAATTCCAACGCAAGGGGGCTAATTTGAGTCGTCGAACACTCAAATCAAATCAATAGAGGCATGCAAGATAGCAGAGCACAAAGATCAGATGAAACAAGTAAGAAAGCTATAGGAGAGTGCTCGAATACGAAATCCCCTTAACCCATCGAGCAACTGATATTTCAATAATTGCACACATACACGCACACACACATACAACGTACGCACGTATAAACACGCATTGGCTGCAGTGATGGCTTACTATTGGAATTTAATGGTTTAATAACTTTTCTTGTGGATGTACTTTTTAATGAAATTTTAAGATTATGAATATAACATGGATATGCATGCAATTGCCAAAGCACAAGTCTCTAGTATTTGAAATACGTCTTTTGCAATATGTAGGGGTGGGGGATAAATTTTAACAAAAATCGAAATTGTATAAAATGCATATAAGTATATATTTAAAATGTATATTTATATATAGATATAATTTTAAAACTAATTTTCGATAAGGTTTTTTATCGATAAAAAATAACGGGATGAGTTATCGATTTTTTGTGATAGACTCGATATCCGCGCTGTATATACATTTTGAAAATTAGTTATAAAGTTAGACCTCATACGCCTATCATCTGGAATGCTGTTTAAATATTTTATAATGCATATAAAAAGTACATGTGGTGATCGTCGTAAATTCTGAACTATTGATAAGCAATATATATTTAGACAGAATTCGAGTGGCTCACGTACAATTGACTATATAAAAAACTGCTGCTGCTGTTGTGCACTTTAGACCTTTAACACATATTTAATCAGTGACAAGGCGATTTTAAAAATCAAAGTACAGACAAACTTAAGCAACAAGATTTTTGGTTGTTAGCAATAAGAAATTTTCTTTGCAAAAGTATTATTTAAATTTCGAACTGTACGCGTGTGCTTCAGAGACCCCTAAGACTATGTCCTCATTTTCAATCCGGCAAGCTTGAACTGAGCAACCACCTTCGATCGATTGACTATCGACAAGGCGAATAAATTACATATTGTAATTCAAATTGTGGTCGTTCACTTATTGTGCCGTTGACAACAGACTGGTATTCAAGCCATATGAAATAATAATGCTCTACATAACAAGAAACAAACAAAAACATGTTATTATTCATTTATGTACATACATATATATGTAGTTTTGATGAAATGGGAATGGAATGATCGGAGAAGTAGAATTAGCTGTGTTTTTCAATGATGGTTCCCCTTGACTTCAATATAATAATATTCTAACGAGCTCTTTATTTCAATTTAAGTTATATTCTATTTCTATTTGTAATATATCATTTGCAGTATTTTGATTGAACTAAGATTGAGCAATTAACCTTCAGTCTATCATTGGTTTGCTTGCTTTCTCATATCAATTATAACTTAACCCATACTGAACATTTCCTTAGTTAATTATGCTCAGCATACTAAATAAAAATGAACGGTGTGACGCGCATATTCAACAATTTAAGTTCCTATTGATGGAACTATATAAAAGCAAAAATAATAGCGCAAATTATCATTCTATGTATTATGTATTATTTAAATTTACTTTGTGCCTGAGGTGTAAGGCATTCAAATTGTAAATATGTATAATTATTTACATACAAAATATGTACTTGAAGAATTTTTTAACAATTAGTCAAGAACAACACACAGCTATAAACCTCTTTGTAAACCTCTAGGAAGATGATGTATTATGATGATGATATTCTCCGAAAGATAACGAAACGACTTTAAACAGCTCATTACCCAGTAAGTAATTAAATTATATATATATATATATATATACTTATATTTATTATATTTACTTATTTATTCATATACATTCATTTTATTTACAACATTGAACTCTGTATATCGGCGGTTGTATTCAACATCTGATCGGTCAAACGGGCGGTCATATCAGTCATATATAATGATCAAATATTATGATGACGTCAACATTTTTTTTTATGCGTACATTGATTAGCGAGCTCATTGAGTGTGAATAAAATGGTTAGCAAAACCTGCTTATTGCTAATTAATATTAGATTTGGCATTTTTCCGGAAAATGTCCATCAAAATATATATTAATATACTAATTGAAACATAAGTAATACTTTGCTAATATTTCACAATTGTTGTTGGAAATCGTTATATATATTGATATATATGTACATACTTATTTTATATATTATCTTCATCTTTTGAAAAATTCATTTATAAGCACTCAATCACAGCTACTATATGTATGCAGATATAGGTCGTATAGAGGAAATAAACTTGATACAGTACATAGAACAGCAGTTAAACAGCTGTTAAATCTGATGAGCAATATCATGTCAGAAAGTTCAATGGCACAGCCAAAAATCGAAAGGTGATGCAAATTAAATTTTTAATTGCTTATTGCTTTTTGTACACAACAGTGAAAAATGAAAAAAATTGTTAAAAAAAAAAATTGTTAAAAAAAAAAAAAAAAATCACCTGATATAGTAGATTCTTAATGTTTGCTAAGCACGTTGTTTAGAGACAGATAATGGCTTCAAAATTGTAGACGAATTTATATTCATTGATAAGCTGAAATAGCTAAATTCAATTATTTTTTTTTCGAGTGAATTGTATGACAATTTGAATTTCTATTATGCAATATATGAATTAAATAAAATGTGTCAATCGAATAACAAGAATTCAATAATAAATTGTATGATATTTATTTAAATTTAAATTGTTTGAAGTTTTTAGCTTTTTCTTTGATAAATGATTAAAAGTGATATTTTTCAATGATCACATGAAGCTGAGATTGATATAAATACAGTAAAACTCACCGGCTCTATAATTTTATGCAATCTAAAATTAACTTGGCACTTATTTGAAATGAAGTTACAAATATGGGGAAAATAATTCTTTCAATTGCTTTACTATACACATCGTGGAAAATTCATGCAAGTACAGCGACAATTAAAAACCACAACATCACGTACCTATGTATGTACATACATATTTACGTATCTACATATTCGCATAAGTGAATTTTTAAAAGTAAACAAATGTAGTTTATCTTAATTATATTCACTCATATTTATATATATATATATATATATATATATATATATATATATATATATATATATATATATATATAGTCAATACTATTGACTCAATAGTTAGGCTGTTGTGTTGTATTACTTTTCGCACCGCATGTGTTGGTGGCGGCAGAGCCAAAATAAAAGGGAAATAAAACTAAAGGAAAACATATACATGCCTGCTTGCACACAACAATATCAGCTGAATATTGATGGGAAAGACAATACATGATAAAGTTAGGACAAAAATATAAGAATAAACCTTTGCAACGGTTCACCGAAAACAAAGAAATCGTGAGATCTGCTCACATGACATACATATGTATGTATATACATACACATACACATATGCAGTTAGTTTCTGCTCCTTTTCACTCTCGATAGAAGATTGTATTTTCAGTTATGTATATGAAGCAAATGCAAACATTAGAATTTATATACTCGCATACATTGTATGTATGTACGTAGACATGGATCTAGAACATGTGCATCACATTGAAAATAAACATTGCACGGTATTTTTATCGCTGTTAAAATACACACACAAATATTTTATGAACACAGCAACAAACATTATGTACATTTGCATGTATACAATTACTTTTAGTTGTTATAACGATATTTATTTCTTCTTCAAACTACATCGCTTATTTCTATAATTTGCTTATAGTTATATATATATATATATAAACATTTATTTTACTTTTTGGAACAATCCGCGTGCTCCACCGTTGAAATAAATATATTTTTTAACAGAGACGAAACCACAAAACGAGGAGAACGGCAAATATGATACGATAAACAGAACACGCCCGTCCCGCTAACGTTGCAATACGCGACTGAACTGACTCGAGCAATCGGTCGATGGAAACGGCTCTAGGGACTTGAGAGACTCTGACTGAGGCCGGCACAATACACGCGTACAGTAACTGTGTGTACGTGTGCCTATATCTGAGTTTGTTGCACAGTGGAATAAAACGTGAAATTGAAGATTTACTGTTTGCCATTTATTAAACTTTATGGGTCATAAGTAACAATTAAAATTTATTTACTTTCCTTAACGACATGTCAAATATTATATTTATTAAACTAGTGTAAGCTTATGTCTAATAATATTTATGTAATAAAGAGTTCACTGTGCAACGCAAAAAGTTAAAAGAGCGGGAAATTTACTGCATAAGAATGCCATATAGGAGACTTTGAACGAGAGATGTGATCTATGCTGGGAGATGACACCGTGAGTGTACGTAACATATTTATATTATGACTAGTATATCATTAAAAATTAAATCAAATTAATTAAATATGTTAAATTAATGAATTATCTTATATCAAGCTCTTATGTGCTGCTTTTTTTACCATTGAAAATAGTCTTGTAGATTTATGAGAAAGATGCCTTATGAGCGGGCTTAATAGATATTCCAATTAAATATAGAGCATGTGGATTATTAGAAGCAAAAAAAAAAAAAAAAAAATAAAAATTAAAAAAAATTTTAGGGTGCTATCACTGCAGAATACTCATTTACGGTCAAAACGCTGCCAGTCCCGTCCTGATCAGTCACGTCCTCTATTTGTACATTTATACATACATCGCTTATTTAGTCGTAAAATTTTTTGTTTCAGCTGTAAAACTTTAGCGTGTGTGATTATTCCAATTTTTCTCGCTCAAGCTGGCATAAATACATATTCAAATCTTCTTTAGATTTGTCGAATATTTTTAAAATATCGTATGGATGATATTTTAAGTTTTGAAAAGATAAATATGATATTTCAAAAGCAACTTTAAAAATATC